GGACCAAAGCACCGCTCCTCGAATTCAGGACCCACTGGAATTATAGCTTCAAAAGCTTTTGGGTCATATAGTACACCCCTTTCACACCACGAGCTGTTGAAATTGCATTTTTAACTTCAAAAGCTTTTTGGGCCGAAACTCTTGGCAAATCCCGCACACCGGACGCCGGCACCCTCCGTCACCTCCCAAGCTCGGCCGCTTTCAGCCAGCTGCGTGCGGTATACTGCACTCTCGGAACGCTTCCGGCCGGTATGTCACCGATCCTCGCTCCTTCACGATTAGAAAACTAAAGGAGACCCCGACCCCAAAGGTAGTCTTGCCACACGTATGCTTGACAGCTCCATGTTGCGAATCTGCTGAGAGTTGTCGTCATGATTTTGAGTACCCGACTTTGACCATGATTGCGGCTACTGGCTCTCCTTGTCTAAGACCCGATCCGTTTATGGCGACAGGAGCCAAAGAAGTGAATATGTGAAAACACTGAGTATAGCATCAGCACTCAAACATTATTCCGGCTGCAGGCACTGCATGCATAGGCTCGTGGCCTCAGTCAGCCAGAAGAGCGCGCAATGACTTCAAAACAAGGACTCTGCTGGCTCCGAGTTATTTTCATAAGTGTGATGACGAGGATCATGATGATAATGGTGGTGGTGATGATGATGATGGCGATGGCGACTGGCGACTGCCGACTGGCGACTGACGATGACGACGACGACGACGACAACGACGACGACGCTGATGACGACGATGACGACGATGATGGTGACGATCAAAACGACAAGGACGAGCAGGAGGATGAGGATGAAGATGATCATGATGATGCTGATGATAATCATCCCGGCTGAAACTGGGGAACATGGGCGACGCCTAACCCTGCACGCCTCTTGGGTCCTGAATTTGGAGCCGAAGGTTTTCGACACATTGCTCCATGTGGATCTTGAAAACCCCTCGACTCAGCCTGCCCTGACACCGGAACGGCAAGAATCCCCATAACAACATGCATGGCAGGACATGGCAGGACTGTGTTAGTTGACAATGTCCGAAAGGGGCCATGGACTTCTTGAACAGTTGCCCTTGTTTCCGGGCTTTTGGAGGTCAAGCAGAAGTGAAGGGAAATCAGGAAGCCCTGGCCCAAACAGCCGACAATTCCTGAGCATAGAGGTGGTTGGCTTCTGCGCACCCGGCCATGTGCCGGTTCGTTGTTCCAGGCGGTCGTGCTGCAACCAAACCTCGCAATGGCATGTTTTGGTCAACCGAAGAAACCTCTGCAAAAGCCGGATTGAACAAACACATGAAGCCATGATGTGAATGCTCAAGAGCAGGAGCTGGTCGATGTGCTTTCCCGTGCAGAAAACTTCACGCACAAACTTCTTGACACAATTCGATCACTCCGCGGGGGGTCGTCTGCATGCAAGCGCGGGCAGCGGGCAAAAGAAGCGAGGTGAAAAGTCATGGACATCAAGAAGCAATCAGCCTAATGGCACTAGCTTTCCTTTTACGGTAACGTTGAGCAATCTAGAATGCCTTCCTCAGTGAGGCTTCGCCAACAGCTGATAGAATGCAGCACTGAGGCTTGCTATGGGCTCATCTGTTCGATGCATGGCTTGAGCCCATCATAAGCCCTTACCAAGAAACATGCCACCCTACGATGCTCAATTCACCACACGTTGGCCGCCGATGTGGATACTTCTGCAAACTCTATGCCTCCACCGCCTCCTAAGCTCGCCAATCACTCGTGGTAAAGTCGCACATGAAATCTCTTGGAACACTTTGACACACGAATTCAAGTTTGTTGCTGGTTCACGCAATCTCACGGCTCGAACTCGTCAGCGTCTTTGCATCTGGCCAATGTGCCATCGCCCAGAACCAGGCCGCCCCTTCCGTTCCGGCCCGCCTCCGCAGGCACAACCTAGTGACAAGCCCACACCGAACATCTCCCCTAGAGAAAAGGCTTGCGAATACTCACTGCGTAGCACGCGTTCTTCTTAGCCCCTGTGAAAAGCTTGGCCTTCCTGAGTTTGGCTTGCATTCGCAAAGCCTGAATGTTCAGTGTCTGGCCTAGCAAGCTTGCCTTTGTCTGCGTGATAGAGCTCGGGCCTAAGCGTACCTCCTTTCCCAGTCAGGGCTTGTTTAGGGCTACTTTGCCACTGGAGAATTGGAGCCTGGCTTTCGGGCAACGGTTTTGGATCGGCAACTGCGGTTCTTTGACATGAAGTCACACGGCGGTTCCTCAAAAACCATTCAAGCACACACCAAGACATCCGGCATCATCAAGCATGAGTTCAAGTATGTATCGAGGCTGCAACTGCACTCCTTGAAATTCGGGTATTGTTTGTCAGGTGTGTTCAAACAATCTGTTTTCAGGCTACGGAAGGTTGCTCCGTGGCCTCAAAATAGGTTGATGATCCTTCAGCCCTAGGGGGGGTCAGTGGGCTCCACACATCCCAGCAACCTATTGAGGCATGTAGGCGCTTGCTTGAGTTTACAAATGCCACTGCAACTTGTGTCTGGTCCTGTTTCTCCAGAATGTAACAAGCTCTTGCTTCACGCATCAGCAGCTTGCGCTGGGGCGTGATGCTCCTGAAGCCTTCAGCAAGCATCAATAGCCCAACCGGGACAAACAAAGGGGGCTATCGCGCTGTTGCACAGCTGTTGCGCTCCGCAGTTTTGGTCTTGTCCCTCGCACGGGCTAACTTCTTGCCCTTCTCTTGAACAAATATGCAAATACGCACACCGAAACACACACACACACACACACACACACACGGGACGAGCAGCACATTGGCGCTTTCCAACATGGGGTATTGCCCTCCGAAAGCATGGCCTAGTTCAAATGTCCAAAACACTGCCCAAGAATTCGGCGAGTGCACAACCCCATTTTGTCACTTTTGCATTGGACAACGGCCAATCTTCGCGCCCCCTCCCTCCCCATGGCCGCCCGGCGCCGTTGCGAATGACCCGCACAAGGGTCTCAGCGCGCAGGAGCTTCGCTGCAACTTACATCCCCAGCCTCGCCCAAGCCCAAGAACACGCCCGCCCCTGTGTTGCCAGGACAGTTGGAAAATTGCGGAAAGTTCAAGATTCCGGCTAAGGTCATCTTATATTATATCAAAGTACTTTGAATTTCATGTGGCTGGTGGTCTTGTATCACCAAATGCGTCCAAATGCTGCATTAATGCGGTTTCAGTTGGAAACAGCGCATGACTTTCTTGTGAAGAATAATGAGCTGAGCCAAAAAACACGTGTCAATCACAGGCCTCTTAAAGTCCTGGCAACAAAGCGCAAGCCAACGTTTGCCAACAACTCGTGTCAGGAAGGCGGAACCCACAAGCCATGTCATTTGTGCTCATCCGTTCGGTCCACTCTTTCTGGGGAGGCAACCAGCACAAAAATGAAGTGCAGTAGAGAAATCCAGTAGTCAACTTGTGTTTACCCTATTTGTCTCGCTCTCGTGCCAGCCCCCAGTGTGGCACACTGATCAAAAACGTGCCTACAAGGTCACCGGAAGTAGCGCTTCATGTCGGCACTGTCAATGATTCAATAATATTCAATGCCATAACGACCCTTCGGACTGTTTTGGAAAGTCTACGGCCCCGCCCCCAGCAATCACCGTTTTCAGCGCTCTCCCTCATGTCCATGAACTTCGGAGCTCAGACAACTTGCCGCGCAACGGAAGTCAAATGAACCAGAAGCACTGTACTTCATCTTCAGGCTGATTCGCCCAGGTAACAGCCCTTCGGCCATGCCACGCAGGGTCAGCAAACTTCGGCGTGCATCCTCGAGACTCTCCAAAATGGACAAAGTCCTGCACCACCTCACCGCGGAATGTGCTGTGATCGCCTGCGTCAGGGCGACAAAGTATATGGCACGGCTGCCATGGTTGCGCACTGTCTGGACATCCAAACCACATCCCAGACATCTGCGTGCGGAGTGCTTCTCACTGCCAAATCGTTGTTCCAGGCTACCTTGGGCCATGTCCTTGCGGGATTTGTGGATGGCTCACATTCGCCCGAAAGCCAACCGGAAACACATACAGCTGCAGGCAACTGCTCATTAAAAGATGAAGAGAACAAGCAATAACAAAAACACAAAGGAGAGAAAAGGGGATGCAAAGTATGGCACGCTCAAAAAACAGACTTCAAGCCTTGGTTTAACTGAAACAAAACAACTCTTGAGCTCAAAACAGATGCGACTGTGAAAACACTGTGTGCGTGTGCGTTGGGCAGGCTGTACCTTGCTTAAGATATATAGGGCTTGAGCTGCAGCCCCTTTGGAGCCACCGGCCTGCTTCGGATCAAGTCATCGGCCCGGAGTGCCACGAACCGGTTCGCCTCAGAGCTGAAACTCTGCCAGCAAACCGCGGTGATCTGAAACCACGCGCCCATCATCGCCGCGCGTATCAACGACCAGCGCCTTGACATTGCATTCCTGTCGAGCTTGGACCCTTCAGAACTTCACGTGGAGGGCTTGCAACCTGTCCCAGGCAAAGCTATAAACCTACGCCTATCATCATACAAGGCAATCTGCGATCGTCCCCTTGAACAGCGCTGGGCAACGCTCATCTTGTCCTGCAACACCAGACAAGACATATATAAAACAAAGGTATACCTGGAAACTCATGTGGGTCCTTCTTGTTCTGTTCATACGGCTTGGGCTACAATAAATGGCGATAGCGTCAATAACGGCGGCTTCTTGTCAACATTTTGGTCAACCAACAAAATACGGGCTGCATACTTCCAAATACGACCACCGGCCAGAACAAAATTACCATATGGGAAAAACGATCCAAATTCCGGTTCCGTCCAAAAACATGGCCATGCGGCTTTCTGCTGGTTGGCTGGGCGAAACAGCCGTTCCATCACACAAAGGAACTATCCGAGAAAGACGCACACACAAGACCCAAGCATGAACACATAAAGTCATCATGCAACGGGTTGAACCAGGCAAGTACAAATCCCATAGCACAAACCAAGTTATGAGCATAGCCAATTGAGCAGGTCCTTCAAGGCGGAGGTCACGAAGATGTGATCTGGCGAGCAGCGCAGCTCTTCTTTTTTGTCGCTTCTAAGCGTTGGCATCTGAAGCGAGGATGCATCTGGCAACTCCTCCAGGTTTTGGCCGTTGAGACCAACCCGATTCCAGCTGTATCCCTTCTAACAGATGGAAACAGACATGTTACTTGCTGATCTACTCCTGCATGTCGACCCTGCTCTGTCCCCTGAATTCACATAACCAGAAAATACTTTTGCATCGCTCCGGCATGAATGAAACATGCAGCGCATCCATGCATGGTGTGTTCCTTGTTTTGAGCAAAGGATTCGAGCAATGTCCTAAACGTGTCATGATGTACTATGTCTTATCATGCTGCTTACGCCACAGCTTACGCAAACGTTGCACAACGCACGTTTTAGCTTCCGCGACAAATGTGGAGGTGTTGCCTACGCCACTGGCTTACGATGCCTGACGCACGTAGTAGAGGTTATGCTTACGCGCAGGTCGATATGACTCAACGCTTGCTAAATACCCACACGGGGGTTGTCGACGTTGCGCTAGAGAGGCGACCCGCGCGCCTTTGGTTTGCAGGGGCAGTGGTTACCACACAAACATCAATGTGGGATGCGTACACGCATTTCTGGGAACAAGGTCAAGCTTTAAGAACGTGCCGGTACCCACGTGCTTTATTGGGATGAAACCAGATGATAGATATCCAATCTATCTGAATCGATATATACGAATTCAAACACAAACACGCATGTTGCACCTTGAGTCCCAACAATCGGCAGCCCGTGTTCGCTCCAAGTCCCAATGGCTTTTCGTGCCTGGGTCAGCCCCACTGCTGCCAGCGTCGACACCATGGAGTGGTACTCAGTTGCCTGGTCCAATGCCTCAGGGAAAACAAGCCAGTCAGAGCTGGGCACGCAAACCCAGTGTTCAACCTACTTCCAATTGCAACTATGGCAGGCAACCAGGAAAATGAAACATGCAAAACCCAGAGATTAGATTCCCGTGTTACCTGCCTACACCGGGCAAAGAGTCCCTGAGATCCAAACAGCCCAAACACAAGAAAGCCCTTCGTAGGGACGTGAGCAGGGTCGAGGGAAACGGCATGGGGCCCACTATGGCTGGAGTGCGCCAGGCCAACTGCAAGCTGGCAACGACCTAATATGATCTAGTGGTAGCAACCATAGAGGACTGATAGAATGGCTTGCCATGTGATCCTGTGAAACTGGGAGAGGCGCTCCTTTGCCGGCTTCAAGACATGCAAACCCAGGCAGCAGCAAAGCAGACAGTTGCTGGCTTGAACTTTGGGTCATGCCATGTTGAGGCATCTTTACAAGATGCACCTGAAAGTTAAATACCATCCAAACACAACTTTTTAACATACACCCCCAACAAGTTCTCAAACATCTCCTCAGCCAAAATGGTTTCAGGCTCGTTTCGGATGAATGAGCTTGGCCTTTGTGACGAATGCAGCTAGGTGGCTTGCCCGAATTCCTGCCCGCAAACCTGGGAGAGGCAGAGTTGATCCCAAATGTGGTACACAAGTCAGCGGCGGTTGCTGAAAGTCTATGTATGACTCTGGCTCCCTCTCTCTCCATGTCGCGAGTCAAGATGTTCATGTCAAGGTAACTCGAAGGAGCCGGGATGTCAACACCCATCAGACCCATAGTTCCGCGTGTACCTGCTTAGTTTCAAGCACACCAAGCAATAAGGTGTGATTCCTCAAAAACATACAAGCGCATCATGGCACTTTGGCATGCACATCAATGGTTGAGGTGGTGTGTCATGTCTATCAACCAGGATAATTAGGCTCCTTGAGTAACATAAGTTAGACCATAGCCATAGCCTATCCAAAGCTTCCAACGCCCAAACAATGGCCAATCATGGCCAAGCAGTTACCCAAGGCATGTCAAACAGCTGTGCCAAACTTGCAGATCCAGTCAGAATCCACTAAACTGAACCATATGCCAGGTTTTGTCGTTAATGACACTAGGAGGGAGGCAGCCCCCAACATAGCTGCGGCCGGCTTGTTCCAACGGCTCACCCTGCCCCATGCAGCTACTGCTGTGATGGAGATGGGCTGCCGGCGGCCTGTGTGCTTCTCGATCATTTGTCTCATGTGGCTTCGTTTTACAAAAGCTGATTGGAATCAAGCAACCTTTGACAATGCTCCCCTAGCCCGTGGATTTAGTCACTTCCACTGCCTAGTGGCCGTTCGGGCGCAATGGCGACAAAAACACAGCGGATCAATTCGTCAATCCTTAGAAGTTGCGCCACCATTTAGCTGCGGCCAGAGCGAACATTGGGGACAACAACTATACACCGTGGTTCAATCTAACACGACATTGGATACGCACATACTGCATCAGCCGGTTTCTTTACATTGTCCACACTTGCGGGCTACACTTCTTGCAACAAACCAGCTCAATGTCCACACCACAGAAACAACCTCTGACCCGTAGCCCCCGCCCCTTTCCTACCAGGCAGCATTGAAGTCACCCGACAGCATCCGCAGGTCCGTGGAGGCCGCAGCAATAGCGGCCACTTGCCGCCACTGGCTCTCCCTCACAGCGCGCCAGCGGGGCTGGTGGGCGTGCTCCAGGTGTGTTGTGAGAATCTGCAGCCGGCGCTCGCCCACCTGGACCTGGCCAATTTTCCCTTTGCTTGATGCTCAATAGGAGGCCTGCAAAGATTGAGCAAAGATTGAGAAATTACCCCTTCCCGCTTGCTTTGCACTGTGTCATCAATGTGAACTGCGGACAAAAACGACCACGATCAACCCGAGAATGGCCAGCAACAACCTAAACTGTTGTAAAAAGTCCGCTGCTCGCTGCGTGAAGAAACCGCAGGAGCACTTCATGTTGTCCCCGATCAAGTTCGTCAAGGGTTGGTGAAAAGGCCTTAACCTCGCACCAACAAAATGACGTGACAGGTTCATCCCTGCATGGTCTCCTGCAGGGAGTTTCTGAAGAATGTAGGATATCTACAGTAGCACAAAGCTATGATTGACAGTGATAACTGCAACCTGACACTGGGACCTTGCGCTTTACATACACAGGGCTCATTTTTCATGAAAACGGCTTTTTGTCACTTTAGTCTGCTTGCTGCAAAACATCATTTGACAGCCCATGCATTTATGTCATGGGTCACAAAAGGGTGCAACCCGTGCTTCTGCGATTCATGAAACAACGCTCTCTCATAAAAAAGGGCCATGAATCAAAGGACAAGCCTCTTCTCTCAGTACTCTTGCGCACGAAGTGATGCGAAGATGTTGGAGCAAGCGCGATCTGCAACCAAACAATGCAGAGCACAAGGGGTGCATCTGACATGAAATGAAGAAGACTCAAAAAGGTGTTGGATGAGCGCTGGAACACAGCACGCCACAACTCACCGCGTTTGCAAAATCTTGAGGCAAATTGGCTGGCATCCACTCTTTCAAAACCGATGGAAACCAATCAGGGAAGGCCCGAACAAGGCTAATCCGGAGGGACACGTCTAAAGAAGGACAGGAAAGGCCACAACATTTAGAACAACTTTGGTGGAGCCACTGCAAGTCTTGTGTGACTGCTTCAAGTCAGCCGCCTGCCTGCTCAAGGGCCACACTGGGGTTATGAGTTACTGGTTTGCTCCAAAACCGGCCTATTGTTGGGCCTCTTCACTTTGAACAACCACGGAGAAAGCAGCGATGAAACGAAGACACCACTCCTCAGCAACGTAATCTCAACAGTCAAGAAATAGAAAAACAATCAGGAATCTTTCTCATGATCCACAGCTTAATTCCACCCGGAGCGTGGGTTGCCGAGTTGCACAAGCAGGCAGTTGGTCGGGGTTCGTGAGTGGTACACCATCCAAATCTTCAGCTCCGGGCTTTAGGCAACGTCTCTGAAGACACGTGCCAGTGGACACTTGGCCAAACCGGCCTACGGTTTTCAGAAAGAACAACCAACCACCTGCCTGGTCCAAACTGAAGCGGAAGGGCAAACTGATTATCCAAATGCTGACTGGGAACACAGCAACAAATCGATTCAGCGATCAACTCGCCAAGACCCTCGCCTCCACCTGCAGCCAGCCTTTGGCAGAGACCGAGCGCCGCTGTTGGAATACTCCGTGGTTCTCCGCTGTCAACGGCAGCTTGGAATAGACCACCAGCCCACTGTTCTGTCCCACAAAAGGCGTGGTGGCCTCAGTTGCGGCCCTGGAGTGTAAACAGTTGGCACCTGATATCGGGAAAATAAAGGTAACCGAACCAGTTGGCTACCCTTGAGGCTTGGTAATGTGTTAAAAACCCAAAGCAACCTTGTCAAATGGGTGTGGGTCAATATTCTGGTGTGGAACGTTCCGCGGTGACGCGGACGTCTGGAACGAGTCAGTTACGCAAGGTTGGTTGTTCCGGACCTCTGGGAAGACATGTGGGGGAGTCCTCAAGCACACGTTCATTTAGTGTAAGATGGATAGATGGATGGATAAATGGTAGATGGATGGATGAAGCGACCAGGGGCGCGCGGCCTTACGATACGGCACCTCCTTGAAGGCTTCTTGGGCGGCACGGCGGGCCGCGTAAGAAGCGCAGCTACTTACATGGGGCATGTGTGTGCGCGTGGTGGCAAATTGCTCCGCTGCGTCTGGAACACGTCTGGAACGGGTCTGGAACGGGGTCTGGAACGGTTACGCGAGTGGAAGCAGCATGTAAACATGGTCGTTTCAACATTGTGACGACCGAGAGCGGTATCGAACCGTTACCGTATCATATCGCACAGATTGCGGCGGGGTTGGCCCTTAACATTGACAGGCCGTTCCAAAAACACATCTGTTAACAGGACCGCTACCCAATTCCATCCAAGTCCCAATGATTACAAGCCACGCAGCCCTAACCACCAAAAGCTCGACAAGCAAAACCCATCGTTAGCACCTCAAGCTTCTCTCGAACACCAGCTTTAACGCGTAGTACTTAGCAAACAAGGGGGTAGTCAATAACCTACCAAATCACCTGACCGTCTGAATCAATGCTCTAAACTAGACATAAATATATAAACAAGGTCTGGAACGGAAGGTCTGGATCATGTTTCTAGGCAAGGTCTGGAACGGAGGTCTGGAACGGAGGTCTGGATCGCATGTGGGTTCCGGACCCTGTTCCGGACCTTATAAATTGACTCGCAGCCAAATGGAGCTGTTGGTTGACGCCCTTCAAAACTCGGAACGGAACATTTCCGCGTCTACTGCGTGCCAATATCTGCGTGTTCTAAAAGGGAGGAATCGGATTCGGTGAATTTCCTCATATGCTTCAGCTTGTCTCAGGAGCCTGAAGTGTACCATGAAGACAAGGTCGTGATCGAATAGCCGCATCTGATTGTGACAGCTATGCCACTGAAGGGGCGACAAAGTGTATGTCACAGACTCCAGAGCGACCAATAAATTGAGCCTCGTTCAAGAAACAACCATCGAACAATATAATTCCGCGTTCAAGTAAGAGCACTTTCCAGAAGCTGGCAGATGACCCACTGAAGATCGCACATGAGGAGACTTGAGGTTCGTCTTGAAAGCCCTCAGAGAGAGCTAGCAAACAGCGGGCATGGTTGACGCTCTGGACACAAGCAGGCTCTTTCTCTCTGGGAATCGAACATCCCAAGCTGTGGCTTAGGCGCAGCCAACAAGAGCTTGTTCCAGGAGACTCATGCTGAAATGCTGCGGTCACTTCAGGCTTGCAGCCACACACCCCTTCCACCAGCATCGAACAAGGTACACTCGTGGCGTGCGCCGCTTGGAGGAATAGGGTGAGAACCCAATGCGCATGTTCCGCCTCTTGTAAGACATGCATATTATGTAGCGTGCAAATGCCGCAGGGCCAATAGTGCATTGCGTGTTTGCAGGTTCCCACATTCACAATTGGCAGCAACCATGATTTCACCTTTTGCCAAGTTCCTTCTGCTTGAATGTGGAAAGGTCCTTCGAGGTGTAGCTTGTTGTGCTGCAACATGTTGCACCCAATCCCCTTTGTCAGGCCAGAAACCGTCGAAGAGGTTTGGAAGTAGAAGCCCAGCTCGTGCATGAACAGCGCGACTTCCTCCGCCTCGCTCTTCTCACAGAGAAAGCCCAGACCAAAGGTAAACCTGCAAGGAGAAGCCACAATCACTACTCGGTTGCTTTCTGCTCCCCTGCTAAAAGTTTCACTTTTAGTGGTTTAATTCGGAAAACCCCTTAGTTGGCCAAACAAGTTGAAGTCCTAACATCCCTTGGCAAAATGCACAAGTTTCACTGACCCTACAGAATCATGTATCAATACATTCACATGGCTGTGGGTCAAAAATAGGTACCCAAAATGGAACCCCGGCAAATGGAAACATGAACTAAAATCTGCGGTCCAATTCCTGGTGATGTCATATCGACCCACACTCACTTGCTGATTCAACGGCTGAAGGCATACTGGCATGGCGTAAAAATGGCTGGGACAATTCAATTAATGATCCTAGACAGGCACGGCACTCACTATTGTCTGCGTGATCTCATCAAGGCAAGAAGGCCGCCAAAACCTGTCACTTTCAAAGACATTAGACAATTAAACAAACTGCAGTGTCTTGCCTTGAAGCTTGTGCTAGCGGATGTGCAAGAACTTTCGACACGTGTGTTGGCATGGCTATTCACAGGGATATTATTGTTGCACAAATAATATTATCTTGTCTCTTTCCTGCAATCAAAGTGCTGAAACATGCAGGACTTTCGTTCCCTCTCATGCCAGCTTGTGTCAATATTTTTTCATGGTATCGTGGGATCTAAACCGAAAAGAATGCAAGAGCGTTCTTCAACAAGTTGAGCCCGTACTGCCAGCATGAATTCAACACTGTTGGCAAATCAACCTGATAAAGGGTGCTGCAAGCTTCTCTTGCCACTCCTATTCAGCTCTCAACATGTTCGACAGCTCTAAACGAGTTCAACACATGCACTTCGCCAAAAAGACTCCCGCTGACAACTTCCTGCTGTGGCCGACTAAATCATAATGCTCGGCATGCTCGGCAACGGCGCACCCGACCGTGACTCAAATAAACGCATGGAGATGGTCTCTCGGTTGCTTTCTGCTCCCCTGCTAAAAGTTTAACTTTTAGTGGATCAATGGAAAACCAATTAGTTGGCAAAAAGCTAGCCCTAACATCCAAGCAAAGTGCACCAAAGGTCTCGTTTGACATTCTGGCTTGGTTGAAGCTGCTCACTAAACTCTGTCCAGGGCACATCTCCTGCACCACCACGATGTCCACTGGATAACGGCGCAGGTACTCCTTGAAAGCTTGCAAGCCTCAGACAATCTTGCAAGGACTCGCATGCGCGTCCACAAATAGCAGTTATTGCTTTGTGGCAAACACTGCTGCTTAAGGTAAACAGTCTGCTGGCTGTCGTGAGACATTGATGAGCCAGTGCGTCCCATCTACAAGATCCAGCTGACAGCTTGAGACATGAAACCGCGGAGTGATCTGCCGCACAACAAACATTACATGATCCAGTCAAGGCAGTCCTGTGCGATTTGCTATGTTTGTCTTGCTGTCTGGATGCGCAGAGACAAACGATAACACACACACACACACACACACACACGCACTCACGAGCGTGTCACAGACGGCAGTCTTCCCAAAAGCCTCGGCTATTGTTTCTGTTTGCTCACGGGAGGGAAACTGAATATGGATACCCGCCGACGCATGTTTAATCTATGACTGCCGCTGGTTGTTTGGCATATACGCAAGACCAATATGGTGTGGTGCTGGTCGAAGGACACTGCAAAACGTTTGAGCGGAACCCAGCTTTAATTCGGCCTTGTGCCGTCAAGGAGTCAAGGGACGCTAATTCGCAGCAACCCATCTTGCAACTCACAATACTTGCAAATCACTAGACACCCCCCCCCCAAGCCTGAATCGGTGCTTGCTGCGGGAGGCGCGTTGTTGTCGATCAGGACCTCCAACATAGAAGGAGTTCCAAAGATTCTGTGAGAGGATAGTCAGCTTCCTTGGTGCGGTCACATGGTCACATCTGATTGCTTCTCTCTTGGAGAGCCTGCCTGTATTTTCAGAGCGACCAAAGGGCACCCTAACTTCTGGAAACTAATATTTTTTGGGTACCCTTAGCTATACTTACTGAAACACTGCTGCTCTGGTATGCTGCGTATCGATAGATGTTCTGCATTCAATGCAACAACCATTGAAAGCTCATGGATAATTAAATCAGCTCAGTTCAATACTTCTTCCACCGGTTCCACTCCTCTCATCAGAAAGCCAGTTTGTGGGGCCCAGTGCCCACCTAAATTACATGAGATATTGCCGCGGGCCGGCAACTCAATCTTTCTCATGGAGTCTTAGGCCACACTGTTGATCAGCTCGGCTTCCATTGGATCACACGCAGGAAATGACACTCAGCCTTCTTCATACGATCTTTCCTGGAGTGTGTGCAAGTTGACCTCAGGATTCAACCATGCGTTGGTGTTGCAGTCCTTTACTCATAAGACAATCCACAACACACCATGTGATCAGACGAATGGGGTCTTCCGGGCATGGAAGGCAGTGTTTATTGAACGATATGACCGAATCATTGCTTTGGGATGTGTGTTTGAGCCCACTGGATGTCTGAATATGTCTGAATGGTGAGGCGAGCGCTATCCAGCCCTGACTTGTTCTTGCTGAGGCAATGTCCAACGAAGAACCTGCTGAAGCTGACAATTTCTCTCAAGCATCAAACAGCCACTCCTGGTTTTTGATAGCGTCCAATTCCTGAACCCTGGGCCATCTTGCCCTCACAGTCGGCTTCCCCGGCATTTTCCAACCGAGCCGCCCGTCGAGTGGCTTCCCGGCCGAGCCAGGCGCCGGAGGCGACGTCGAGCGCCAAGAGGGGCGCCATCCACAGGCCCTCAGCGCTCCGCCGGCGCCGATGGCCACGACAGCCCCGCGGGCAATTCCTCGGCACGTCGCCCGATTGCGGGGGCACCTGAGAAATGAGCCAGGAGACACCTGGCCATGGGTCAAACCCCTGTCATCCCAATCCCCACTAACATAGACTAAAATGGGTGGCGCACCTATCCCAAAATGGTATCATTGGTTTTGAACCATGGCCACCCCAACACATGATAGGACTCATGGTATCCGGACACAGGCAAGGGAACGTGTCGCTGAGAAATGCTTGAAGCCATCAAAATGCGACAAGCCATCTGAAGACCTTGAAGGCTCAGGGACACCAGTTACCTCATGTGAAGGGATTCTAGCCTTTGGTTGCCCGAAGCATTGCTGCAGGCTAACGTGCAAAGGAATAACAGAACTCACGTAACACGCATCCTTTGTCAACAACAAAACTTGAGAGTCCCAAAAGGTCTCAAATGGAGCATGAAAAGGTCGGGGACCATTTGGCGCTCCATTGGAAGCATCATTGCCGAGCAGCGCCTGCGCCACATCACGGCACCATCGGAGCAACGCTTCTGAGAAAAGCAACGGGAGTCACCAAACCAAGTCGTGGGCGTCAGGTCGGCCTCACCAGGTAGATCCCGGGAAACAACCTCGAGTTCATACATCGGATGTTCAGGCTGTCCAGCAAGACTCAACCTGCAAACGAACACAGCCGCCTGCAAGAAATATACGAGCCTGAGAGAACCGCTAGGAGGTGATCAACGCATGTCGATGCGAGTCTTTCGAAGAGGAGCAGCCCAGGCAAATGGGCAGCGGAAGATTACGGGGAAGATTACGGCTGAATCCAAATTCCTGACTTAGTCCCTGACAATTCTGGCCATTGTTATGTTTCTTGCTTGAAGCCGGTATGGCTGACTGGATCAGCACAACGGCAGAAACTTGGTGCAAACCGTTCCCCCGGCGTTCTTTGGTTTGCCTGATCACAACCACCAGAGACGGGGGTTCCTATGTTGACTGCTTCTGGTGGTTGTCTAGGTTGTTTGCCTTACCGGGGCCCTTCTTTTCAACCATCCTTCTTTTAAACAACCGGCCGTTTCCCCCGGGTTTTTGCTGGTTTCCTGAAAAGAAACACGGATCCCTGGGTTCAGAATGGACATGGAAGACACCCCTAACGGTAAAGTGCTCAGGCCACCAGAAAGTGACTTCGCGAAAGCGCTCGGGCGCCCGTGCTGTCTGCTGGGACACCAGAAAGCCCGCTCCGTCGGAGAGGTCTACCCGCTCCGCTTGGTCCACGAAGACAAGGTCCTGTGCGCCCGTCTGCCCCACAACTTCCCTGGAAATCGGGCAAGGACCCAAAACTGCAGCTAGTGGCCTCGCCATTTGGGGAAGGTGTTGCTTGCGTTTCCAATCGCATTATGCGAACAGAGTTTCAGGGTAGCATGGACCACGCAAAATGCTACCCCTCCCAGCAAGCGGAGGCAATGCGGAGAGAGCAACCAAAAAGGAAAGGTGCTGTAACCATCGAAGATAGCACTGGAAATGATTGGCTTCCACAGGCCAAACTTGCACATCAATGGTTTTTCATTGAAATTTATGATTGGCCACGAAGAAGTGAACGCACAAGGGGTCAGATTAGGAAGCAGCATGACAAAGTTTCGGCGGCCCGTGAAGTGGCCATTTCAAGAAGCTCTTGTTGGTTTTCTACCTGAAACCGTATTTCATGTTACTTGTCTGACCAAGACTGCTGACATGTACCGAAGCTTGGATTAAGCGACAAGGATTCTGGCAAATGTTGAAGCACGTGCAGTCTGCGGGTTGTACTTGCAGGCCGATCACAGAAAGTGTAGAATTGCTGGTGGGCTGCGGTTGCCAAACATTCACGGAAATCAACAGACGTCATTTCACATCAAGCACAGCAGCCCTCTCAATTTGCTCACGTCCAAAATCGCAAAGTTTGTGTGCTGTGTCTCCTGATCAATAACACCGTCTCTTTAAATGCGAGTTAGGCCTTGATCCATGTTGATCGCCCAGAAGCCAACCGCAAAGACCTTGCAAGAACTCAGCACGCCTGTGGGCAGAGAGCAGCAAGCCGATGGGCCCACCATCCTTCGAAGTGTACCTCCACGATATCGCCTGACGTAAAGCGTGGCAACGAAGCAAGGGGTGGGCCATTGCGGATACCTTCCCGCGAAAATGACACCACGGAATCCGAAAAAAGGGCCCCTCGTAAAAGAAATGGACTTCCGAGCGCTGCCAGGTCTCGTGTTTGCTTCCAAGAGGGAGTACGCCCGGCATGGTGTGCATGTGTGTTGTTCGTCTGTTTGCCCATTTGTGTCGGCGTGGTGGTGTGCTTGCATGTGTGTTTGCTTCGATACGTGCGTGCGCGCATGCCTGCGTGCGTGCGTGCGTGCGTGCGTGCGTGCGCGCTGTGTGTCTGTGTCTGTGTCTGTGGTCTGTGTGTCTCTGTGTGTCTCTGTGTGTCTCTGTGTGTCTCTGTGTGTCTCTGTGTGTCTCTCTGTGTGTCTCTCTGCGTGGCTCTCTGTGTGTCTCTCTGTGTGCCTGTCTGTGTGTCTCTGTCTGTGTGTGTCTGCGTGTCTGTGTCTGTGTCTGTCTGTGTGTCTGTCTGTGTGTGTGTGTCTGTGTCTGTGCGTCTATGTGTGTGCGTGTGCGTGTGCGTGTGCGCGTGCAATGACTCCTTGCAATGACTTTCATGATGATGATTCCTTGCAATGACTCCTTGCAATGACTCCTTGCAATGACGTTTATGATGATGTTTCCTTGCAATGACACCTTGCAATGACTTTCATGATGATGATTCCTTGCAATGACTCCTTGCAATGACTCTCATGAGAACAACTCAAGTGAACCCAGCGGAAGAACCCTTCGCCATGCTTTCGGGAACAAAAACGGGTGCGGAATTATTTTGGGATGCAGTTTTTATTCTTTTTGTTTATCCCCCGTTTTTCGTGTTGGGAACCAAAATGAAGAAAAAAGGGCGCTGGGCAACTGAGTTCTAAAGCCGCCGAGGAGGGCTTTGCAAAATGATCGCCTTCCACCTGGCGCTCCGCAGCCACCCGGAGATAGCTCTCCTGTCGGATGCCCCCCGTCGGCCAATTTCGAGCTCGCGAAAAGAACCCAACCGACCCGCTCTACTAAAGAACACATTCTGTTGGGGGCAAACAAAAACAGTTGCAAGGGAATCGGTTTTTGAGAAGTGGACCCCTGGTTTGCCGTTCATTCGCAGGGCGAATGGCACAAGAAAAGCGAAAGCAGGTTGGGGGGTCAACATGGGGTCACATTGGAAGCACCTCTGGTCGACTGAAACACGAGTCACGCCAAAGGCACGACTGCACGTTTGACGTGTCTAGCCAAACCGCCGTTTGACAGGTTGGTCAGGGGTCAAGCCTGGATGGGCAAAGTGGGCGGCGTGAAGTTAGCGATCAAATGTGTTCGCAAATCTGACGCCTGTCTCAAAGCTATGATCTGATTGTGGGGTGTTCACCTCTTTCCCTTTCCATGGAACGCGCTCACATTCCGAAACAACATGCCTGTGGACATTGGAACAATGCGTCGGCATGGGCTGACACCCATGCTTTAACTGCAATGCCTGTATACCCTGGACAATCCTTTGCTAGTCCTATTTGCTTACATTGACGGATCTTGGTGTATAAAACACACACACACACATTTCTTCAAGTCTTGGAATGCCAGAACAAATCGCTATTACCGGCCCTTGATTCCTCGCGTGCAAATAGGTCAGGGTTGGCCATGCAGGGCCAGAGAGACTGCAGTTGGGCGTAGGCCCAGGCAGGGAGCCTGCGCTCTCGGAAATCTATCGCATCAGACTGAATTGAGGATACATGCAGGGCAAGGTGCGAGACGAGGCACGTGTTGGCGGGACGACACGTCCGGAGTACAGCACAAGGCATGTAGCGTTTACGCAAAAACCGCAACAAACCGCAGCATCTCGCCCTATGCCGTCCCTGCCTAGAAAATGGGTTGCATGTGTGTGTGGGTGTGCTCTTTTATGTTTAGATTCTTCTCCATATCGCCAGTTTTGGATACTACTCGAGTAGTACATCCACACCGTTTCCTGGAACTTCAGCAAGGGTGCTTCCTTAATCTCTAAGACATGAGCGTAGCATGACATTTTATCTTTGCTCTCAGGGTTCTTGCTATTCCTTGGAACGAACGAACTGACGATCGGTTGCTGAGCACACAGTAGATTGAGCCAGCATACGCGGCCGGAGGACTTTTGGAAAATGCGGATTTCCGACAACGCAAGGCCTGATTTCCGATAATGCAGGCTGCCTGGGCCTAGATTTCAAATGCAGGCTCGCTCCCAGGCCCTACCTTGCTAACCTTGACCTCTTTGCATGCACGGATTTTCAGGGCAAGCTACACAAATGTGTATATATATATATATATACTGCTCTGCGGTATATATATATATATATATATTGCTGTGCAGTATATATATATATATGTATATTATTGTTGACCCCCGGAAGCATCTAACTGTTGCTTTTTGGAGTCCGTTCAAGTAGTTCTTGCGTATTGCCGGTGCTCATCTTTGATGCCAGACTGCTTGGCGTCGTGGTTTCCTATGAGTCGTAGACAGATGTTAAAGATGCAGAATACTGAACGGGAATGTACAACGACACCTGACCGGACTCTGCTCTCTGGGAGCATTCCAGCTTGGGCTGGGCATGCTAGAAACACATGCATGTATCTTTCAGTGTATTCTAGTGTTGTACGCTTGCAAAGTATACAAAACACTATTTGTTTGTCTTTAACTCGGGTTTGTCATGTGCAATAATTAAATTGTCCATAGGCTAGATTTGACTTTCCCAACACATACACGTGCATTTCAACTTTCAACCAGTAAAAACACGCGCACACACACACACATGGACGAGAAACAAACACGAAGAAACCAAAACAAAAACAAAAACTGAGAGGGAGAAACTTGGGTTTCAGCACCAAGTAGTTTGCTTGTTTTCTTTCTCGAGTTGTGCTTTTCACTGTTGTTCTTGTTGTTGGTTGTCCACCATGTGTGTTGATTATAAATCAACGAATGAAACAACTCGTGTTTGTTTCTCTTGTTCAAAGAAGGAATGTCCAACAACAAAGAACACACCTCAAGCTTGTTTTTGAAATGCTGAACAACAAACAAGCTGGAGGAACATCAACACACACGTACCTGAGAGAACCCACAAGAACAAGTTTTGGCTGCAACCAAAGGTCATTCCCTATAATTGTTGTGTCTTGCTTCTTTGATGGTCCCAGTTTTTTCTTGTGTGTTTCCCCAAAAGCTGAAAGCTTTGGGGTCTCAGCCCAGATAGGCTCCGGGGTGGTCCGGGGCGGCCCTGAGGGAAGGTTCCACGAGGGTTCCACAAGGGTTCCACGAGGGTTCCACGATTCCACAAGGTTCTGCCAGGGCTGCGGGGTGGTGCGAGCACTAAAAGAGCACCGCCTGCTGTTGGGGATATCACCTGAGCTTATTTGGTGTTTGCATTCCGGGCATCGTCCCTTAAAAAACAAAAAAAGGTGTTGTGTTGCTTTTCCCCAACAGCTTAACGCTTTGGGGTCTCAGCCCAGATAGGCTCCGGGGTGGTCCGGGGCGGCCCTGAGGTAAGGTTCCACGAGGGTTCCACCAGGGTTCCACAAGGGTTCCACGAGGTTCTGCGAGGGCTGCGGGTGGTGCGAGCACTAAAAAGAGCACCGCATGCTGTTGGGGATATCACCTAAGCTTATTTTGTTCTGCTGATGTTCACCAAAAAACACGTTAAGTTTGTGTTTGGCTGTTTGGAGTCAAAAAAAAATAACAACATTCGAGAAAGCCAGCAACAACGCACATTCTTTGGCGAAGCCAAAAAATATCCTCAGACAATCGGTGTGGGAAGTTGCATTTCTGCCGGCCGAGTTGTGCGAGTTATCCTGTTTTTAATGTGCTTTAAAGTGATGCATGGCGGTTTTTGTTGGCTGCTCTTGTTGTCTGCTAATTTGTTTATGAGCTTTTCCCGGCTGTTCTTCAACCTTCACTCGGGTATTGGTGGAAATAATACAGAGTTGCTACCGTGCACACAGGACGACTTGGGCACGGGTTTGCTTGTTCTCACGTCCCCACGCCAAGGGCAGAGCCGAGGTCACGACGCGCGGGACCCGCAGAAGCAACGCCTTGCCCATTAGGCCACTGGGTCTATTGCAACTTTGCAACTTGAAAATGGGCCTTGAATTTGAGCCTCTTTGCTGCTCAAACGGATGTTTTTGTGATGAAGGTGTGACCATACATGCACACACCTTTCTTCGCTATGCATTGACATCTTCTACCAGCGCAGTGAGCGGCCTCTGAGTAAATTAGAATCTAAATGAATTTCAACAATGAATAGAATTCAAAAGCTGGCGGAACTCCTTATAAGGCTCCTTACAAGAAGCTATGCAATGAAGTTGGCTCCTTATGACTGCTTGTGCCAATCCTTCTAAAGCTGTTTGTATTCTCCTAAGGCCTCTTCTGAAGCTCCCAAATAAAGCTGTTCTAAGGATTTGTTCAAGGCTCCCTATACCAAGTAAGATGCTGATTTACAAAACATGCCTCGCATGAGTATGAGTTGGAGGAAAACAACAATTATAACTTATATTTACAATAATACGTTCAAAAGTCATTGTTTTTCCACACATTACTTTAGGAAATAATTAATGTAAAAATCAATAGGGACAGATTATGTTAGATATGCGTTCCTTGTCCACTAGGAATTCGATTAAATGTAATTCCAATTTGGAAGAACTTAATTGCTCCAGAATCGTACTAAAGTTTCTAGTTTTCAGCATAATGAAATTGATTTAAGTATGCAGATGGGACAGAACATAGACAGGAATGATATGCAATGACCAGCAGATGGGACAAGACCTCTTTCAAGAAACAGGCCCTTTGGATTTGCCGGCATGCAGAACACAGACAAGAATGACATGCAAAAGGTATATCATGGGGGTGCGCAGCAAATACACGTGCATCTACATATTCCAAGCTACCAGGTGGCTTCACCGGGAACATGGATTATATGGCAAGCCAACTTAAAGACACCAAGTGGAACCTTGCCTTTGTGGACTCGCTTGAGGCACATTGCCAGCTCCACATGCTCTTGGTGGGCAGCAATATGTTTTTTCTTCCCGCTCGGACTTGGGGCGATCACCTCGGCCAGGTGTCCTTGGCGAGCGAAACGCCGCTGCTGTCATTCCATGCTTCATCACTGGTCTGGTTGCTTTTTCAGGGTTTCGAGCCATGGCATTCCCAAGAGTTGACACAATCGAAAGGAAGCTCTTACTTTTAACTGAGTCCAAGAAATAATGGTACTTTTTTGGCACGAGGTTGGGTGGGCGTTGTACTGTGGAACAGGACATGATTTGTTCACCACGTACAAATCCAGCTGAATGTGAATTTTCGTTTGATTGGGCAACCTGACAGAAGGCTGGGCCCAAATTCACAGGAATGGGCTCCCTGCGGCTTTGGAGTACAACCCAATTACAAACATGCCAGCAAATCTTGACAATGGTTCAATTTCTATCCAAAGGCACCCATGGAATAAAATACGGGTACGACTCTTAAGTGCCGACCTCTGCTTTATGTTGGGGAGGTATGTCCATCAACAATAGGACGTTGCATGAAGATTCATGGCCACATCAGGCATTGATATTAGGGCGGTGTGTCCATCAAATAGGACGTTGCATGAAGATTCATGGCCACATCAGGCATTGATATTAGGGCGGTATGTCCATCAACAAATATGATGTTGCGGGAAGATTCATGATGGCCACATCAGGCATTGATATTAGGGCGGTATGTCCATCAACAATAGGATGTGAAGATTCATGGCCACATCAGGCATGGATATTAGGGCGGTATGTCCATCAACAGTAGGATGTTGCATGAAGATTCATGGCCACATCAGGCCATACTGCGGATGGACAAAATCCTGCACTACCCAAGACACCATGGAAAACCATTCTTTGTTGGTGTTTACAGGGGATCATATCATTCTAGGGTTTCTTAGGTGGTGCAGGATTTTGTCCATCCACAGTATCAGGCCGTATCCAACTGATCGTTAACATTCGCCAAGGGGCCGCGAAGGCTTGGGCGTGGTCCACATTCAGCTGCAGAGCCTCGCTCGCGGGGACCAGCTCCTGCGCGTCCTGGAAGGCCTTGATGGGAGGCCATTGATCAGTTGGCTCAGGGGATAGAAACTGGGGGGCCGACAAGGATACCCTCCCACCAGCTAACATGCAAGTGCACAGACCCCTGTAGTTTGACTACTTTCCTCTTGGAAAGGGCTTTTTGCACTTCCGTTAGTTGGTGGGAGGGTACCCAGGTTCCAACAATGACACCCTCACTCCCACTCACATGGCACCTGACAGGGGGTTTTTAGAAGAGGGAAATGATCTTCCAGTTGCCTTCCCAACGCCCCAACAATGGTTAGAGGAATGCCATTGCTTTGGGAAGCCCTCAGTTTCCAAAGATGGCATAGCAGTTTCTGTTCTGGACACGAACGCGAGTGTCTAATTATGTCAATGTCAAGTCTGCTGAGGAGTCTACTTGTCAGTTGGGCCTGCTTTGCATCTCTGAGAGCAAATACCACCCAGAGCCAGCAACTCTGCCTGCTGAGTAGCTCCACCTAACATCCATGGCTGCCCCCAGCACATTGCAATTCAGTGCTGCAAGTGCATACACAGCATGCATGGAGCCATGTCTCCAAAGAATACCAGAACACTTGCCCTAAGTCAGCATCTAGCCTTAGAAAGAAAAGGTCGGACAATCCAGCACTGCTCTTCACGCGGGAGGCATGGATCCAGTAGGTGCAGGGAACGCAGTGGTAGGAATGACACAATGTGTGGATGGAACAACAGCCGACTCCAAACCCTCCAAGGAAAAATAACTCATCCTAACCAAACTGAATTTGTAACAATATGTGCGTCTGCCAAATCAGGCACGTGCTTTCCAGAGACGGCGTCATGGACATTCAAGGGACTTTTTTTTGCATGACCTGATGCAAGCGGCTGTCCGAAATCTTGCAGCTCTTAGCATCACTGTGTAAAGCAGCCTGCTTCCTCAGAGCGTCCGTCCCAGTCAGGAAAATAAGCACAGTCATGTTGGGCCCCAGTCCCAGCTCTGAGAAAGAGCCACACACGAGGCTCACATGACAGCACCGGCGCTTTCCCATTGGCCCGTACAGTCTATTACGGTTTGGAGCCAAACCTCCTGAACGCTGTAAGGTTGTCGTTCCCTTTCGGAATACAGCCATCTAGAGTACTGCCTCCTTTGAGTCCAAGCAATGCTGGGATGTGGCTGATCTTGAATCCAGGGACTTTGATTCGGATGTGTCTAACCACTGATGGGTTCCATGATCGTGGCTGACGTGAGCGTGTTCCGAGGTGCGTCCACCGCCTCCCTGTAGCGCTCGAGCTTCAGAAAAACCAGGCCTGCGGTCTTGCCACAGTTGGGGGTTTTCCACTCGAGCATGCAGAGAACTCGTGCCCCTCTCCGCCCATTATTGTGTGCGTACTGGTGTGGTTTGGCTCCTCCTGGCTCTTTTTACATCAAAAATATGCGAAAGTGGAAATCTGGTCCAGCACCTTTGACTCAATCAACACTTTTTTGGTTGCAAAGGGCCGGAAACAGCACCCAGTCCAGCTTCCCAAGCGGTCGGCCGAGCTGTCGCACGCCACGCCTCGGCCAGAGAGAGCCCCAAAGTGCCGCGGGAGCAGCTCTAAGGTCTGCACGGAGCGGAGCGCGCGCCCAGCGGGGGTGAGGATGGGGTTGGAATGGGGTCCCCCAATTCCATTTGGATGTGGGCCTTTTTTTTCCACCAGGGAACCGCAGGTTTTAGTCCATTTTACAACCTGCAGGGCTCAATTTCAAGTACCTATTTTTGACCCACAGCCATTTGTGAATTCCCCACAAAAACAAAGCTATAACATTCACCAGTCTCATGGGCATACACAAGCGCGGGGAGTCCTGGAGGGGCGGAGTGTCCATTTGACTCCGGGTCAAAGACACTTTCTGAAGTCAGGCTGAAGGGAAGCAGTCAGGAAGAGACTTTGCAGTGGGCCAGGGTAATTGCTCTTTTGAGAATCACTCGACTATCAGAAAACAACTTTTGGCAACCTCTAGGCACAATCAACCAACACAGCAATCTCACAATTGAAACACATGCCCGGATAGCTGCTTTCCACGTCTCTGGATGGTCATCCGGTGGGCTGACATGCCTGAGAGAATCTCTTGGTCATCTGTCTGAGCAAGTTTCTTGGGAGCCCTCAGAGCGCAATGAAGATGTCAGCTCTGTCCGGTTCGCTGGCGCCTGCCTTTCGCATCACTTGCTGGAATCCCAATTTGGGGTGCGCCTGGTCAATCTCCGCCAAGGAGTCCTCGTAATTTCCCAGCAGGTAGTCAACCTGAGAGGGTCAATTGATCACCGCAATCATGAGCCCGACAAAAAAATGGTTCACTTTTGGCCGACCTGGCACTGCTTCTGCTCGGTTGCTTTCTGCTCCCCTGCTGAAAGTTTAACTTTTAGTGGCTTAATGGGGAAAACCCCTTAGTTGGCGAAAAGTTAAAGTTCCAACATCGAAGCAAAATGCAACAAAGCCTGTATGTCTACAGGCCGATTTGTCCCCTCCGATTTCCCCCGCCACTTCCCGAGCATCGGTGAGTCAACCTTGAGGTCCGAGGTGCTGTGGCGAGGCGATTCCAGGCCTCCGCCCAGGAGGGTTCCAGGCGGGCAGCCTGCAGAAAGCCTGGGACTCAGAACTCAGAACTCGTCCTGGAAGCGGAACAGCATGGCACAGGAATCTGCCCTCCCGACGCACATGGAAAGTAGTCTTTCTGCAAGAAATACACTTCCATGTTAGCTGGGAGGGTACCATTTGGAGGAGGGGCGCTTTTGGACTTGAGGGATTTTTGTTGGAATGATCCAAACACAACGCAGAAAATGATCGCCTATCCAATGCCTCTCAGCCTTCCCGAAGAGGGTCCCTTCCTGTCTACCAACAAGGCTGTGCCCAATGAGAGGTTCATTCATCATCGTTCTGTTCATCCATAGCGACCTGTTCAGAGTGAGGTGAGGCAACCGTGAACAAATGGCATCGTCTTTTCAACAATCAGGGAAGTGCACAGGAAGGTTTGGGAAGATGTCTATCTTCAAGCCCCATGCCCACTTCCATGACATGACGGCAACAAAGTCAATGACAAAATTGATGTCCCTAGTGACATGGGACTGTTTGGTTGTTCTGGCTTTTGTGGATACTTTTAGTTGCCCCTCTCCTCAAACAAGGGTGGGATCCACTGAGCACTTGGGTCTGTTTTGCAAACTGCTCCAAATCTACATAACCGGAAATAAGGAACCCAAAGTAAAGGACCTTCATCATTGAGCTGGTTTCACCGCGAATCAGTGCACTCGATATACTTTGCCAACGCTACATCCCCCTTGGTTCAATTCACACTGCAACTGGAATTCGAAAGGGGAATCCGCTAAGCATGTGGCTCCAGTTTGCACCAAGTCTCTCTCCCCACCCTCCCCGAGCCCCACTCCCCAAACAGCCCAACCCCAACCCAAACACCAACAACCAAAACCCCACACCCCACACCCCACACCCCACACCCCAACCCCAACCCAAACACCACCAACAACCAAACCCAAACACCACCAACCAAACCCCACCCCACACCACCCCAGCTTCCGCTCCCATTTCCGCCGCGGCACGGTCTCTGGCCTCCGAAAAATCTGCCGCATCCATCAGCTCCGAGCCCTCCGCCAGTAGCTGCCGCGCCTCCAAATCCTCGTGGAAGAACCAGGTCCGCCACCTGGCCATGGGTAACCTATGGCGATCCCTTTTTGGGGTGGAGGAACATCCATTTGCCACCTATTTTGATGTTCACCAGGGGTACTGGGCCGCGAATCCGAAGGATTTCGGATGGTGCCCCTTTTCTTTCCCTGGGCAACCATCTCAGAACAAAACAAACCTGTTTGACACATCCACGAGTCAAAAAAAAGGTGGGTGGGAATCTGAACGAATGAACCGATGGTTGATCAGATTCAGAATCACTTGAACCTGACTGCCAGGCTCTACAAAACCTGCCAACATGTCGAATGGGTATGTGAGGGAAAGAGACATGGAAAAATCAGTCCTCTTTCAGGTTATCCAAAGAAACCAAAAAGGAAGCGCCTAAACACCAATTGGCCTCTTGGTGACTGGAGATAAACAAAACTATTAAAACGAGATGTCAACTTGAGAAGGAATCACACAATTTATATGTGTTGAATGATCGCTATTCGAACTTACAGAAGGAATTCATTGCACTGTTTGTACATGATTGCTAACATATAGTTCAATACATATATATATATATAGAGAAAAATGGATTTGTGTAACCTTTATTGCACCAAACAACAACAACAATATATTGTTACATAAGTATATGTTTAATCAAATAGATCAATTGCGTTGCAGGCACTTGTTAGGCCCAACTAATTAGTTGTGACCATGGCGCAGGTTCGACAGGGAGCTGTTCAAACAGAGAAGTGACTCAAACTTCCGTTGCAAACCCCTGGAGCCTCCCAGAAAAGTTGGTTTCCAGCAGTCGGAGATTTCGCTTTCACAGCGCCAGGAAGAGGTTCTCTTTGGGCAACTTCTGGCCTGGACCCGGACGTCAAATGGAAACTGACTCACATGCCTACATCTTGTTTCCTAAGGAAGGTCAACACAAACACACGATACAAGCACACGAACACAAGGGCCGTGATCTGTATGTGTAAAGCCCCACAGTTCAACAAGTCTACCCAAATCAACGTAAACGTGACCTTACAGAAGGGAGGATTTCCGTACCCTATTTCCAGCTTGCCAGCCGAACCTGTCTACCTGGGTTTTGATTGTGACTCACAAATGGGCATGTGTCAAACCTTGCTTTTGGGCTTCCCCTTAAACCAACAGAAAAACAAACTACCCTCAATCAACAAGGCACCCTCAAACAACTCCCTGACATTCTAGGGGTAGCCATTTCCCCAGCGGTTTTGGTGGTTTTCTAGAAAGAAGGATCCCTGGAAAGAATGGGAAAGTTACCCCTAGACACATGGATGAACATTGACAGAATCCTGCACCAGATATGCATGAAGCGTCTGAAGCGCCCGGAATTTTCGTCTCTCCGCCGGGCCGCAGCAAGCGCTGGACCTCCGAGACTCGCTTGGCGTCCGCGGCCGCCAGCTCGTCCAGCAGCTGCTCGGAGAGCTCTGCCTGGAGCTCTGGACGCACCGGTGAAGCCCTCAGTAACTCACTTGGGTGTGGGTCAAACAGCGGTACCCCAAATAGAAGCCTGGTAGATGGAAGCAAGGACTAAAACCTGCGGTTGGTCTGGTGGTTAAAATTTGACCCATACCCACTTGAGTAGATGGCCCAAAAACCGCCTTGACTGCTGATTTATCACCAAAATGGTCGTTTAGAGTGCAAGAACTCAGGAAGTGAGGTGAAGCCGGATAAGCAAACCTGTCAAGCACTGTCAACCGCTTGGTCAATCCTGTTTTTGCCCCCCTGCTTGGGGTTGATTGAAGGGAACACCCAAAGAAACCGCTCATTGCGGGGGGCACCACTTTTGGATTGACGGTTGAACCCCTGTCCCCTGTTCACCCCGGCTTAGTTGCTGGTGGTGATATTTTCTTCAGCCAGTAAGTTTCAAGGGCAAACAGGGCTGCTCCAAAGATCCACAAAGGTAGAAGTGTGGTCCCTGCAAAATGGGAAACTTAAGAAAACAAAACCAGTGTTCTGATTTCCCTTGTGGGTTGGTAATCTTTTAGAGGCTCTGAGCAATCTTCAGTTTCTGCATACAGATTGACGAAAGTCACCCAACAAGCTGATCCATTTTGAGAGAAACTTCCTTCCCAGTAGGAAATGAGTGAATCACCTTTGTAAACCATCCATTGTGGATTCAGCAAAGGGGATCCCAAGACTGAGAAGCAACAAAATAAACCACCACCACCCTCATACCTCTGACAGCTTGAATCGGGGTCACCACCAAGTCACTAAATGGGAGGTATTCTTTAGAATTCAATGTTGACCAACTACAAAAACGGGACCCTCAAAAACAAATCTGGGGAATCCGCCGAAAAGGAAGTTGTGGATTCATCGATGATTGCGTTGCATCACTTGCCACAGTTTGCATGGCAAGCGAGCCAAACGGATTTCAGGTTACATGTTACCCATATAAAACCACAATGTGGACGCCCCACAGGGGACTGCCTTCAGAGAGCTTGCCCAGAACCGATACACTCTTATATGTTGTCTATTGCTTGTATTGGTTTGGCTTGGCGTGAGAACATGGATGCTCGGGCTTCCTTTGCAGAATTTGGTGCCTTTGAATGAGAAGGCAGCAATTCAAAAACGAACTTGTCCTAAAATGGGCCTAAACTGGGGACTCATTTCAAATGTCCGAAAGGCCGAAACAAACCTGCCGGTTTGTGGGCAATCTCGAACGCCAAAGCATCCCGGCCAGCCTGCTCTGCCGAACTTTGCAGGGCACCCACACGTCGGGACAGCTCCTGGGCGAACTGACAGTGGCCAAACGTCGGCGCCCTGAAGCCAGGGATGTGGCGATGTGTTAGAACACGACACCCTGGTGACTCTTTGAAAGAACCCCAAGAAAGGCTGCCCTCAAACAAAAGCTGAAGCCAGCTTCAGACCACAGCGTTGAGCATATAGTGGCGGTGTGGGATTGTTGAGAGATCGGAGGTTGCCATTCGAACCGTCGCATGTGCTCCGAAATCGTAGAAGACCCCAACCCAGAAAGCTTGCGACAAAGGAGTGGCTTGAAGAAGGCGAAATTTTGCTCTGTGTGTGTCGAGGCTTTAAAGCAGCAAATGTTACCAAATTATTCTTGCGGAGAGAGCTGCTAAACGGCCTCCTGCCTTGTGGAAGGAATCCTGGTCAGGGTTAAATTGCCCAAAGACTGTATTACAAGGACTTCCCTGCTGTTCCAGCAGGAAGTGGAGGTCGTTGCACACGACGTTTTGAGATGATTTCAACTGATAGCCGCAAGCAGAGGTGACTTGTGGTTTAGGTGACATTGGAGCCGATACACCAGTATCGGATGGGCAAGTAAGGGTGTCAATGCAGTGCTAAGCTAACAAACCATCCAATCACTTTTCAATGCAAACCGTTGGAATAGTTTAAAGCCCAGTTGCGGTCCACGTTTGGTCACGGCCCAAGAAGGTCAATCACGTATGTCTCACGCTGACTAGGCTCCACAACAACTTCATGGCACAAGTGCCTGCCACTGCACCTCATGTCTCGCTGAATTGAGTCCCTCCAGCATTGACACCCTTTACTGTTGGCAAAGGCCTCGTGCCTGTGGCTTGTTGTCTTAGCATGCTCAGTGTACCATGTTCGCACTTAGTTTGCCGATGTGTTCCTTCGTAACAAGGTCAATCCAAAGACATCTCAGCTTTTGCGGCAAAACAGGACAGTCAGAAACTTCACAACATATACGCTGGGCCGCTGCTAACATACCGAGCAAATCATGGCTTCCGAAATGAACCGTGAACGGTACTTCACTTACCGATCCGTCTTCCTAAACCAAACACATGGCTGTGGGTTTTAAAAAAGGCACCCAAAATGGAACCCTGGTAAATGGAAACATGGACTTAAATTAAACCTGCGGTCCTCTGGTGGTTTAATTTCGACCCATCCCCACATGACATAGGCCGCAAGATCTTCCCAGCGCCCAACTCAACGTGAGTCTCCGAAGGTCTCCTTCAAGGGAGCGCCCGTGCGCGTCTCACGCTGGGAGGTGGTGACAGTGCGGTACCTGCGGCGTCTCAAGGAACAGGTGATGAACAGAAACAAACCCGGTGCTTTCCAACTCAGCTTGAGCCAAGTTCTTTCATTGAAACATCTCAGAGCACTACTAGCAAATTCACAATACTGAGTCATATCATAGCAAGCGGCCGTATGCAGGGTGAATCCTGAGAGTCGCCAAACGCACACCAATTCATGAAAGAACTCTTCGCAACTGATGAATGGCCCGCCAAAAATCGCCGCGAGTCAAATGTGTGTGTGTTGTGGAGAACCTTGTGACATCAGTTCGGTGGGGTTTCATGTCCATCAATCCCTTTCAGGTGGTTCTCTCTCAAATTTCCGCGCCATTTCATAAAAGGAAGTATGTCCTATTCAATTGGCCTTATTGGAGATCTAAGAACCGGCGATGGGATCGCAAAGGCCAGAGCATCCCCGAATTTGGCCACCCGATGCAACCTGGCTTCGAAACATGGAAACAGCTCGGAGGAACGGGCTCCTGTCATGACCCCCTCTTCAGGTGTTCGATCATTTCAGGATCGCTGCAAGAATCACCTGATATGGCTCCCGGCCAACAAGGCTGTGTTGGATAACTGCAACACACACACAAATAACTGTGACTCTAACTGTGCTGAAAGAGAAACTATCACCAACTAGATCGTTGAAGGTAGCGCACTGAAAGTTTCTGCTCAAACTAATGCTGTTTGATTCCTTTCAGGAGACCACATTACTTAGCATACTTCAATCTGCTAAGCAAACACAAATCCTAGCTCTGAGCAGCCGTGGGGGGAGACATGCCCCGTTGGCTGCAAAACATGATTCCCGCATGGCCTCTGCATAAAATCAAGCTTCCTTCCCCCAATGCGATCTCTCAGGCTGACATCGCGATCCATGGAAGCTACACAGTCATCGCTCAACTGTCGTGCCATTGTTTCAACCAACACGGAATCCAAAGCAAACTCAGAACAAACACAAGGATGCGCAGGTAAATAGATGTGATGAAGATGGGAATGCGGCCATCTAAAGCTGCAACTTGAGCACATAGTCCGGATTTGCAACAAAGCAAATCGATGCCGAGGAATCATAGCTTTGTCAACTATGTTGACTCAATGATGTGGCAAAAGGGATACTATGTTCCTGTGATCAACCTTCTGAGATGTGCATCTAAACTCCTCCCCGCGGGGTCGATGCACATCCACCCCGTGAATAAATCCAGAAGTGCTGGTTGCGGAAATAAAAGGATGATGTAAATCCCCTGCAACTGTGGAGAAGCTGACAGGCAGCTAGCATTCCTCTTGTTGGAAAGAGTATGTCAAGGCAACCCCAGAAACTCTTAAGGAAGGAAGCTGTAGAGCGAGCCTATAACACTCCCATGAACTGGATCTTGTCCCAGCTCTTGTTTATTGGACAGCAAAATCCGCACTTCTGCTGCCCATCTGTGGGAACAAACAAGGCGCGCAAAGATCGCACGCAGGTGGCATGCGGTTCCGCACGCAAGGCTGCAGCACATCGGCTCCGAAGCGGCGCCCTTTTCACCGGCGCCGCTTCTTCGCAGTGTGGCACCGATCCTCCGGGTCGCAGGTCCTTGGGTTTCGGGAGAGAAAAGCAGAGCGCAGCTGTCAAGCAGCTGTCAAGGAGACACCGGAAACAAATGCGGAAACCCTTTTGGCCTAAGCCAATGCCGGGAAGGCAACACGTTCCGACTGGGGGGGGGATCCAGCAACCACATGTGGCTTGCTTGCCAAACTAAGGGTTACACAATGGGTACATGAAAGCGCTGTACCAGGGCTCTTGCCGGGCAGTTAACTCCCACAAAAGTGGTTTGCCTCGCTAATGAATAAAAGCCACCCGCCTATGTGTCCGTCAATTCTTGGTCTTTTGAGAGCCCAAGCATGGGCACCTGGTCCCAGTCAGGGGCAATTCACATGCATGTTAAAGCTCTGGCATGTTGGCGAAACAGGGCTTGAGACAGCCTGAAGCCTGAGCCTCAAATGCCAAAGCTGGCCTGCCCAGAGTTGACTGTCACTTAGGCTGGTTTGTCAGTCCACACCTGTGTGGTGTTTTGTATTCCATTCTAATTCGATTGAAATTGTTCAACCTTCCGCCGACCCTTCTGCGGGCCTTCCGTGGGCCTTCCGACGCGTTTTGTTAGGAAAAAAATGCTTCCGCGACCTTCCGCGGACATGAGTTTGGGGCATTAAAAGGCATGGCGCTTCCGCGACCTCAGCTTTGGAATAGTTTTCGATTTTGCAGCTTTCGCGCTTGCTTGCTATTGCTTCCTTGCTTGCTCGCTTGCTTCCTTGCTTGCTCCATTGCTGTCGAGTGTGGAACGTCTGGGCAGTTGGTCGAGTTGGCTGTCTACGACAGAGCAAGTGGTGGGAAAGGTCGGGCGGGCCTTCCGCGAAGCTTCCACGGCGCTTCCGCGAAAATGCGCGTTTGGGATTCTGCCTTTTGGGTTCCCGACGGCTGCCCGAAACGCGCGCAAACCCCTCTCTTTCACCCGCCCGCACCCGCACGCACACACACAGGCTGAACTCAAAGCTGGCTGTAAGCAGGACAGAACACTTCCTAGAACTCCTGTGGAAGCCTCACCTTGCATCACAAGTTCTAAGCAGACCCTAGGTTGCAACTCAAATGGGAACACAATCCACTCAAAACAAACCTGATTCCTCGTTCGCTCCTTTGTCATTTCCTTGTCCCACAAGCTCCACTCCCAGCACAAACAAACATACTCCATAAACCCTTCCGCGAGCTTCCACGAAACATAAACCTTCCGCAATGCTTCCGCGGGCTTCCGCGACTCTGGCCCGGCGCGCGTTTCCGCATGTCTTCCAGATATGCAGCCTAAGAAGTTTGACCAGGACTCGTGAACAGCTGTACTGTAAATATCTATAAACAACACGAAGACTTCCACCTGGTGGACCAGCCCAGATGCCCCGGTTGAGTCGGGCTGCGTCTGGCAGGACTCAAGGGACTTCATGGCAAAGCGCCGCAGCTGGCCCGAGGGGCACGTCAACAGCCTTGAATCGTAGGCATCAAGGGCAAGCTTACCGCTGCAAGCCTGCCCTCTGCATTCCCGCATGGCAATCAACCCAAAGTGAATTCCTGAATAGGAAACCCACCTTTGCCCTGGTGAACTTCTGCCGTTTGACTCACGCGTTCCGGAAGGCAAGTTGGCTCAGGCCTGAAGGATCGAAGGATGGCCTCGAAACCTGCACATCCGAAGCAAGCTGCGCGCCTACAAAACATCTGGCATTAGGATCCAGGCATCTCGAGCGCCGAGTCCCTTTGCGATGCTGCCTGGCTCGCAAAATGTTGCAAACGCAACAATGATGGGAGCAGCCATGCTCCAGAACACCCTTATAAGGGGTTACTTTAACTTTAAGCAATGCCAATTCACCAGCCAATTCACCAGCATGTTCAAACGGTCAGCTTGAATGCCAGGTCCCACACCCTAGGACTCGCCTTTCTGGGCGGCTCTTGAACAAACATGCCAATCCGCACAGCAGAGGCAGTGGCTCAGTTCCTTGTGACAATACACAATGGTGCAAAGTCACTCTTTAGGAATGTTCGTTCCTAGTTCAAAGCAAAGGGCATGCGCTGCACTAAATCACTAAACATGCTAGCAATGATCTGATGTATGTAGTACTTGATGCACAATTGCTTAATCATATTCACTGTATGTGTATACAAGGAAATCTAGCTGCAATGATCCAAAATCGTGGACTTGTGCAACTAATTATCTGCAACAGCGTGGACAACTCAAAATTTGGGACTCCCTTCGCATGCCAGGAAATCATGGTCTGAAGCCCACGCTGAGTAGATTTCAGGAAAAGTAGCAAGGAAAGCTCTGCTGTGTCTCAAGAATGCAAATGCTCCCACTCGGGCAGCATGAAATTGCTAGCCCCGGCCCAGGCAGAAACTGAGACTATGCTTGTCAATATGCAAGTCCGCTTTCAACTGCATCTACAAGCTCAAGAATGAAATCGCTAAACATGAAGGGCAGCCAAACCGAGCCTCACTGAAGCTACTGCAACATTCCCGCTGCTGGAAACTGAGGGCGAAACGGAACAATTAGCAACTTACATACAACCATGTCTCGTGCATGAGCCTAAAGGCTGCACAGTGCAAAAACAAGGTGCATAATTACAAGGGCCACCCCAAGTTGTTAACACAAGATCCCCTGAGTCAGCTTGTGAACAACATGCTCAACAAAGAAAAGGCAAGTTGCATTTAAACATACTGTGGATGGACAAACTCCATTTCGCACCAAAGACACCATGGTTGAAACCATTGTTTGTTGGTATTTATAGGGGATCACATCATTCTAGGGTTTCTTGGGTGGTGCGAAATGGATTTCGTCCATCCACACTCCTCTCCAAACAAAAAAAACGTGTCCCGCACCGGCACGCGCAGCCGGCCGAACTTGCCGCTCCCGGAGTCCCGCCTGGCGCGGGAGCTTCAAGCGGCCGAGCGCCTCCACGGCACAACGCCTCACTGAGAGGTGGGCGTCCTCCAGAGCTGGGAGCACCTCGGAGCCAAATCTCCCCAAAACAACAAGCCGCAACTCGAGGCAAGGCGAGCTATTGGAAAAAAGCCAGACGCAATGCTGCATTCCATTGCCTTTCAAAGCCTTTGGCGCCTCTTTCGCGAGCCGTTGTTCTTTCGCGTGCCTGGTTTCATGATATTATGACCCTTTGGCGGGCCTTTCGCCGATGATCCTGCAAAAATTGGACTCTGCCCTACGACTGGGTACCAGCAGCAGTGGCCCTTCACACGCCCTTCATAATCTTTTGCCTGCCGCCGATGACGTATCGTTTAGCAGAGTCTTAGGCATTTTGCAACTGGACAGACACGCATGTTTGCGTTTTCGCGGCTGTTGCGCAAGCCATGTCAAACTTCCTCGCGGCAAACTCTGTTGTCAAGGGCATACTCTGCTGCTGGTGGTTGCAAAGAAAAGCCTGCAACGATATCCACCTCTATGCATATACGTTTATATGTGAGTAATACAGATTGTGTACATACGCATATTATGTGCACAAAGTGGCCTTTTGCAGACCCTGTTGCGAGCATAGTATGCAACACGCACATACTGAAAAACCAGTGCAAACGCAGGGAAAGTATCCCTGCTTTGCGTCAACTAGCTGCTGCATCTAGAAGTGTCTGAGATCCTGTCAGAATGTGAACTGCTGCTTGGCAAGCCTGGCAACTGCTTCAGCTGCAGGCGCTGTCTCGCTTTGGGAGTGCAGCTTCAGCCAAGTGTTTGTGAAAAGACGCAAGTGTCCTGGCCAATGTCATAAATGTTTGACTCAGCCACAAATGTTTATGTCTTGCTAGCGCCGAGCTAGTGCGGCGCTAGCGCCAAATCTCGCCTCAAAGATGCTTCCTGCAAGAGCAAAGTTTTTATTTATATATATACACACAAGACCCAGCTTCTGCGAGCCACGAAGCGAGCATGAAGCAGCAAAGATAACAAGCCGTGTGTCAGAATCCGCGCGGGCACCGCTACTAAAGCAGAAGGACCAATCAGCTTGCAAGCATTCTTGGCTTACTGGAAAATGCATAGACTGGTGCATCAATGCGAGGGACTGGGCGTTTGTTTGCCTCGACACTGCGACTCTCCTTAAGCCGGCATGCAACTGCAAAGCAAGAACTCATTGCTAGGCACTGTGTGTAAAGTGCGCTGAAGATGAACAAAGTTGGCCCGGCGGACAGTTTCCAGAGTGCAAAATCCGGCTACTGAGGAAGGCACTTCAGATAAGATGCCGCATTGCAGCCGCGCCCTTGCCGTGCGAACCGAATCAGCTGGGGTGGCGCACAGTCAATTGCTCTTGCCTCTGAAGCGTTCATGCTGTCCCCATTTCTGCAAACAGGAACTTGATCAGTATACTACTGCAGTGACACTGCTGGAACAATGGTTGCTTCGCAACTATTTCCTGATTCGATCCACATTTTGATAGCGCAACATTCAAAGTGCCAAACAGTGGCCCCGTGAATAAACTCATGTAGGCAAGTTGCTGACTCGGGCCCTTCCTCTTCACTTCCGTCAAGCTAATTTGTGACTTGTGTGGGTTTCTGTCTGCACAGACTAGTCAAGCTCGCTTCAAAGGAGAGTCGCTGTAGTCAAACAGCGACAGCCGATCAACGCCTCCCTCGGTCATAGGATCAACTGTAGCCAGCAAAGCTAGCCGCTAGTCTGCCATCGCTCTAGGCCTCCCAAAATCTCCCATACTCCGTTCAACTCCCAGGTGTTCAAATGCAGCCAGGGTACCCAATGACTATGATTGAATGCGAAGCGGAAGAGGGGCGCCAGGCAAGAAAGTCCAAACCAGCCATCCGGATAGCGTCAACCACCCCCAACATGTTTAAGCTAAGCTTGCTTTTATCCGCTCTCGTGGACCAGGCTCGTGATAGGATAGGCACACAATTTGGGTCCTGCCGTCCCCGTTCCCCCAGAATTCGGATTCCAAGTCCCGAGTCAGCCGACCAGTCGCTGAAAACCGACGGCCACAAGCAATGAGCTTTCCACCTCCGGCCACTGCGCGCCGCAGGCTCCGCGCTGCCGAGGAAGCCCAAGGCACGCACCTCGGCTTAGGACTGGGTTGTGGGGTTGTGGCTCGAGCACCCCTTCCTTCCAGGAGATACAAGTACACCAGGTTTTTAGGGGTTTGGGGGTTACAAGGAAACTTTGGATGGACATTTGGCCATTTTGAGGGTCCATGCGGAGACAATCCCACGGGTTGGAGGTGCCCCCAAAAACCGCACGCGTAAGTGTGCAATGGCCCATTGGTCGCGGATCTGTTCTATTCTATTGAAATTTGGCCTCAGTGAACCTATCTGTTGATCAAACAAATATTCCAATGCATGAAACAGCTATCAAAGGCTCAACCGCAAGGTGATCTTCTGAATGGTGCAGCCTGAAAGCAGCGGCATTTGCAGAGCATAATTGCACTCGTGCATTCCATATTTTCTGTCCCCCATTGATCGGCGCCAATTTGGCGAGTGTGCCCCACGTTGGACCACCCTGCTGTATGAGATGCTGACCAGACCACCACCCTTCCTGGAAATGCACATCGCGGGAAGAATTGCAGCAAGCTGAGGCTGCCTGTGACGTGCTAGCACTCTGCACGTCCCTGGCACAAATTGATGCCGGAGCCGTGCACGAACAATGCCCACGCTTTGCTGGGAATCTTGCCTGCAGACCTTGTCATGCCCACCTCTCCCCCAAAAGGAGACAGCAGCATTGCGTCTGTGATCTTCTTTGTGGAAGGCAGAAAGCAGCAATTTACTGCATGACAAACTATTGAAAGGCTTGGCGCGCCTGCCCAATTTGCAAAAGCTGCAAACCCTACGATATCGGCTTCTCGGACCAGGGTTGGGCCAACCCTTGCTTCATACTCGCTTCAACGATTGCTTAAACAACCTCCTTTTGTTTCCCCTCTAGAAACAACCAAAGGAAACCGGAGGAAGGTTGCTTCAGGACATATCTTGCCCACGACTTCTCCAATCAATCAAGTGTTGATCGACAGAGAGTGCTTTGTTGCCAGCCAAAGAGCCGCCTCCTCACGCACATGCCTGGTGCCGGGAACAGCTGACCAACAAGTCGTGAAGAAACCAGCATTAATCCGACTCAAACTCCGTCGATGTGAGCGCTGCCAACTGATACTGAACTTGTAGCTGGTGAAAAAACACACCAGCGCTGAGTTGGGCTAACGCGGAGGAACTGAGAAACACAACCCGACTGGCTAGAATCGCTTGCTGCTCAGGAGCGCACAGATTGACTGGCAAAGCCGACAAGAAATCATTTCTTGCTGGCTACTTGATGCTGAGCCACAAGACATGTCCTAGGGAATCCCTGCGACGAGGTTTAGCCGCCCAGCTTGGGATGTGTGGATGAGTGCCACCTTAAGCGCAATGATAAATCTGACACCTTCCCCCTGCCCCACCTTCACCCAGTTTCCGGCTTTTCACCGTTGAGGTGGCAATTCGGGGTCCGGCAACATCGAAAAAACCGGTAAATGATCCTCACCTCGTTTCCTTTCGTGTCCAACTGCCTGCCCCTGGCGGATATGCCTTTTCTGCTGTGAATTGATTATCCCTCCCTGTCAAATCCATACTCCCGTGCACAACATGGACTCCCAAAACACGTTTTTGTGGGGGAGGATCGGCTGGATAGGAAACAGGATCTAAAACTAGTTTTTATGCACCTCAAATCTGGGCCAAGAACCCGGACCACTCCGGAGCCACACCTAATAGCTTTCAGCGATTGGGGAAAAGCCCATTACAACAAGCTCAGAGATGAAACGAGGGAAGTATGCAAGGGTCCGGACTTTGACGATGTGTGAAAAAGAACCATATACCCAAATTGGTGGAGGAATGTCGGTGGACCCGCTCCGGAAGGGTTCCACTGTTGTTGGGCCTGCGGCTTTTGTTTCTACTGAGCCAAAACAAACCAGAAGCCCGACCTCCTGTTCCTGTGATTTCTACTTCAGATACTCGGTTGCTTTCTGCACGAAAAGTTCAACTTGTGGCATTCGGACAACCCTTCAGTTTCTCTTCTGTGGGGCTCCTTTGTGACGAGCGGAACGCGCCCGCCTCTCCTTCCCGGCCAGCGCCAGGGCCTCCGCCAGCCGCTCGCGAAAGGCCACCGGCGCCTTCGGCCGAGGTCACGGTCCCCTTCCCCGAAATCCGAAAGCGGCGGAGGGAAACCAAGGGGCGAATTGATATCGCTCGAGACCCTTTGTGTGAAACACATTGGAGCATTTACAGTGTGGAAAAGCTAGGGGATGTGGGTTGGGACAACCACAGAATCTTATCATGGGCATGTTGGAGGAGTGAATCATGTAGTGCATCATGTTGGAACAAAGGTAGGTGGCATTTAACTTATATCACAAGTTTTTGGGAATAATCAAGTTTTCGTGGGGTCCAGCGTATCAGTTCCTTGCTGTTTAATTATGATTGATCCTGTCGCTAAAACAGCAGCAGGCAAACACACCGTTGTGGATTCAAGGGTGAAGCAAAAGGACAATAATAATAGTAACGATTAAAACAAAACACTAGCCTAGACCCCAAATAGCGTAGAACAGGTGGAAGATTGCATCCTTGGCCCTAGGCCGCAAAGGTGACTCAAGCCATTCGGAACTTCCAACTGCACCAACGCCCCACAACGCCCCCCAATCTTGCAAAAATGCCCCCCCCCCCCCGTCACCAGCACCTCCAACAGCATTTGTGAATCTCGCAACAGATGACGCAGCAATACCAGCACCTCCAACACCACCTGTGCCAGCACCCCAAAACAGAACCTGCACCAGCACCCCCAGCCGTCAATCTTGCGAAACAAACATTAAGGTAGAGGGTTGGCTGGGGAAGTCGAGATTGCGCCAAGGTTGCAGCCTGAACGATTAGTGGCCGTTTGGTGGTGTATGGTCCCACCTACGGGCAGTGCGTTGTTTGGTTCACAGTGGGCCTCGCTTCTCCGATCTGGGCATGTACAAAGATCTGCGTACAAATGGCGAAGCTAGAATCTGCCTTGGTCGGTGGCATGTCCGACTGCAGAGCCTGGTTCAGCCCGGTTTCCACCAGCTCTTCAGATTGAACGGCTAACGCAAAGAACAGCGCGCGGACAATGTTCCCAGCAAGGACCAGCCCTCGCCTGCCCTCCCTGCGCAAAGTAGGCACCCACGCCCGCAGCGGCCGCTTCTGCCACTTCGGCAAGAGGCTCGCGCAGCAGCCGCAGCAAGGCTTCCTGAGCAAGGTCTGCTGAAAGCCCTCTGACGTGGCAAACATCCAAAAACATGAAGGATGGCAAAGGCCAGGTTTGGGTTGGGACCTATCCCTCTAGATCTACAGCATGGGGAGCTTTCTAAAGGACCTCAAATGCGCCATGGTCCAAACACATGTTCTCCGCTTCTCGCGAACTTCGCGGGCAGGATGGCAATGCGCGTTTCTGGCGTGAACCTTACCAAATCAGAGAAAGAGTGCGGCGCGGCTAACCGCGGCGATGCAACCTGATCACACGCCCTGTGAGAATCATGTCTATGCCACAAAGCTGCACTTTCCAGCAAGTCCACAGCAGGAGCTGTGCCTTGCTAACAGCTATAAGCATGCAGGACAAAGCGTACATAAGGCGCTTCAGTGAGCGATCAGCACAAACGGTTTCACCTGCTGGAAGGATCGGTCAAGCTCCTTGTGTGGGCCATGGTCGTCTGTCGATTGTCTCGCAGTTGGAGGGCGCTTTGAGGCGCTTTGGCCCGGACGAATCAGGCACATGGCTGAGATGTCTACCCTGACACCTGCAGTGTCGCGTTGAGTATATGTCACTGATGTCAATTGCGCTTGCCAACGTGCCCTTGTGTGGGCCATGGTCATGGTTCCCTGTCTGGGAACCTTTGCCATGCTTGTCTAAGTTTCCGATCGACGGGTCCATGACCGCCCAGATCAACCACAAGCAAGCAGGTCTTTGCACCACGGCGCATATGGGTGTGTCCAAACTGGCCCCCATTTCAAAAGAACATGTCCCCCCTCCCATGGTAATTTTCAAAACCAACGCATCCCCCCCCACCCCTACTCCCCCCCACTCCCACCCCCAGGTACCTTTTGAAGGGTCAATTCTTCCAGAATGTCGCCCAAGGTTGCCCACTTGTCACCTCGATCCATTGGATGCATGTCGTATGAATTCGTCCAGCAACCCGCGTCCAGCCTGGTTTGGCTACCTGCAAAAACAAACAAACTCTACCAAAGGATTCATTCCACATTGGCCTCGTTTTGACATGCACGCCAACAGGAGTTCAATCCAAAACGGTTTGGCTTACTTTGTCCCGCACAGGCCACCCTGACCTGCGTCCGCGCGGCACTTGCGCTGAAGCGATGCATCAATAAGTTGACCCTGTCGAATAATATTCTTCTCATATTGGTTCATCCGCCTAATTATATTTGAACACCGTTGCACCTGGTGGCAAGAGCTGATTGAATCGCTCGCATTCACTCGTGCGGAAAGCAGTAGTAGCTATCAACGATAACATGCTGCCCACTCGAGACAAGCTCGGCAAATCAAGTTCTAAGTTAAAAACCGGTTGGGATGAAAACCCTTTTCAGGTTGGTTTAAGGCGTGCAAGGGGTAACCAGCAGGAAAACCACAACTTTGACGACCCCACTCTATTTGACATATGAGTGTGTCTTAATAAAATAGGAGACCGCGAACATATGGTCAACGTGTCCTTTTGGTTCCGCAAAAAAAAAGGTTCCAAAAAGGACAAAACCCACATGGCCATGGGTCAAAATCCCGTACCCCCAGTAAACATCCCAATCTCCACTAAAATAGGTAACCTAAAGTGGGTGGCGAATTCACCTACCACCCAAAATGGGATCCTGTTTAACGGTTTTGACCACCACAGCCACATGCCCGCAAGGCGGTACTTCTGCCGCGGCGGCTCTAGGGCCGCTTCCGCGGTGGCGGCATCCTCGTCCTCCAACTTCTCCCCCAGCTGCTGGCCGAAGCGTGCGCCCTGCACGCCCAGGGCGCCCAGGGCGCGCGCTGCCTAGGACTCGCTCGACTTCATGGAGCGGATTTAGATGGAGGTGGCTCAAAACTAAACAGGAGGGGCAAACCGCAGGTTTTGCTCCATGGTTCCACTTACCAGGGCAACCCATTTTGGTACTCGGTTTTTTGAGCCACAGCCCAGGGGTGGCGAGGGTTCAAAGACGCGAGGTGCTCGGGAAGTAAAACTTTTCTGTCCTCAGATCCCCCACTAGAAGTTTAACTTTGAGCGGGTTAAATGGAAATCCCCGCTAAACACTAAAAGGCCAAAAAGCTAAGGGGATGCCTGGGAACCACCAAGAAAACACATGCCCTCCAGAGCAGGGGTCTTCCAAACGGCAAAAACATGCCACAGGGATGCTTGCACTCAAGCCAATCAGCTTGCTCCATGTACCACGCCCAATGCCAAGACCTGCTCCTGGACACGAGCCCACCAGCCAAGTAGCAGACTCAGCAACATCAGTCACCGAGTCCTGACGTAAAGAGGAAGAGCTGAAAATCAACGCAGCCTTCACATTGCCCCCCCAAGCATCTCATTTGCCTGCCACGTGGAACCTGACAAAACGCTGCTTTCACAATCTGCCGGGCGCAAAAGCTTTGAACTGGATGCAAGGGAACCTGTCTGTTCTTCAATTCCTCGTGGCTGCCGTGGCACAACAGGCCATACAACCAGCCTGAGGAAGGGGATGGGCCTTGACAAATATTAATTGACCCCTTTTAACATGTTTTGTCCTTCCGGCCCAGATCGACACCAAAAGGGCCGCGAGTGCTGGGCCCCGACAAAGTGGCACGGGGCTCGCGCATAGTTGTCCATTTAGGGCAAATAGATGGCCCCGGTAGACGATAAAACCACCAGGTAAACCAGGAATCGCCATCTATTATTCCACCAAAACAACCAAAAAGGACACCTATGGGCTCGTGGGATCCATTTTGCTCAGCTCCCCAAAGCGGCAACCAATTCTCCTGCAGCATCCGGGCCAGCAGCGCGGCATGGGTGGCAGCCGTCGAGTCATCCAGGCCTTGCGAATTTAGAAACCCTAAACCCTAAACCCTAAACCCTGAACCCTAAGCCCTAAACCCTTGGAAAATTTAGACAAGTAATAAAATATTGAATCTCCTTCTCTAGTCGAAATGCTACCGAGCCGCGCAAACATGAAACAGCCCCCAACCATGGAACCAGCAGTTTAGGCGAGTTTGGGTCCCCTAACAAAAATGGTCCGCCAGGGACCTGGAAGGAAGGTAAGGAAGCAGAGCGAATCTGGCATTGTAAACCTTGAAGGGGCCCATGTCCATCCATGCATCGATACTGTTCTTGACAGGGCTTAGCCCCTGTGCACATCCGACTTGCCCAGTTTGATCACCTCGCTGCGTGCAGAACTTCGCAGTTGGTGCTTGCATATGCTCATTCGGGGCTCGCCCGTAACCATGCCAGACCAGTCCGATGCGTTCAACCCTGAACAATAAGACAGTTGATGAGTGTCAGGGTTGGCAAACATACCCACTGCGGTATGTGAGATTGTGTGTGTGGGAATGCAAAGGACTGATGACACCCGGCAGGTGTGCTCCCAAGCTGAAAAGACAAGAATGTGCAGCATGGAACTGAACCGTGCCAACCATGATATCCGACCTTACCCTTGGACGGAGGAGGAAGACAACACCATATTTGTACTGAAGCCATTAACCTGTACCCGAGTGCGACAATCCTTGATACTGAATGTCTTGGCGTGTTGCTCACGACATGCATTACATACTGAGAGCGATGGGAAGGCACGGTTTTGCGCATCTCGCGGCAAGCCAAGGTACACCACTTAGCATATTGGCCTTCACAGGTGGTTTGGAGGGCAAGGTTAGAAGACCCTCAGCCATAGCCGCGCAAGCTACAAGCATTCCGTCTGTTTGCGTCGACCTCCAACAGGGCGCCTTACAGGCCGCCTTTCAGCATCTCTCCAATGTGGCCTGACAGACCAACCAACAGGGGGTAGACCCATGACAGGGACCCCTGTCCATCTGATCCGAGCTTCCTCTCATCAAAACCAAACACCAGCTTTTTGTGCATATACACAACAAAATGTGAAACCCGAAAAAATGGAACTAAACTGCAGTCAACCCAATAACATCTAAGCATTTCTCCAACGCCACACGAAGCCCCCCGCAGGCCACGCCTTGCGCGATCTCCCCGTAGACCTCCGCGGCGGAGCGGCGCACCGACCAATGCTCCGAGGCGAAACACTCCGCCACCGCCTCCGCTGCCCAACCTCGGTGCTGGGACTCCTAGGGATGGACGAAATCCGTTTCGCACCACCCAAGAAACCCTAGAATGACATGATCCCCTGTGAATACCAACAAACAATGGTTTCCACCATGGTGTGTTGGGTGGTGCCGGATTTTGTCCACAGTAGGGATGGATAGGGGATACGGGGTGAGATAGGGGTGATTTACAACTTGTTTTTTTCGCACAAGCGTATCCCCGACTCCGTTTCCCGAATGAGAACGCCAGCAGCACCAAGGAAGAACCCTGAGGCCCACATGCATGGACAAAATCCTGCAAGAGCAAATCGAAACTCTACAAACATTTGGAGAAACTGCTTATGAACTGGTGTTCAGGCCAACTGGGAATGTCTCATTATGGAGATCCTGCTTTTGGATGGCCTGAAAAGACTGGCAAAAGGATAGCATCCACATTTCAGGAAGCGCCAATTTTGGGAGATACACAATGAAGCCGCCCTTGGAAGATGAGCAGACTTGCATTCAGAACTTGCTGGCTGCTGACAGCTGGTTGTCTTTCTCCACAAGTACGACAAACAACTGCGTATGGCCGCAGCTCGACCGAAGCAAAAACTGTAACAACAGTCAAGCTGTCGATCTTCCACCAAAATTGCAACCCGGTCTTCTCCGTGCGCCCCACCGGTTGCATGGCATCTTGGATCAGACATACTTGCCCAACGACATCGATTGTCACAGTGGTTCAATCTGACAAAAGCCGCTCTCATTCAACTAACAATGTGGCGACATGTTTTGATCACCCCATGGCAATGGTACAGTCGGAGAAAGCCTTTGATAATGAACTTGCCACAGGTATTGTCCACCAAGGGCTGACTCCATGCACCGATTTACCAGGTTGCTTTTGCCTGGACCTGCGAAGCGACCATTAAGCAACCCATACCCACTCCTGAAAGCAATCCTTTATCCGCTGGAACCCTTCTGCTCATTCAACCACTCCGTAATCCAGGTTCAATTTCAATCAGGTCGCTGAGCTATCTACTTTCGCCCGATGAGCGATCTCCAACACATGGCAAGTGCGCAGTATAATAATATGCTTGCCATTTCACGTATTGCAGCTTGTGGTGGATTCAAATAAATTACTCGCCATTTGTTCGCAGACCTAAGGCAAGAACTGGCAAACAAGAATATGTTGGCAATCTCGGGCTTGGCAATAGAATACTCCCTGCTCAAGCACCTGGAAGCAAAGATATTCCTGAAAACAGAGAAAGGTCTTGAAGGGTTGCATGAATAGCATTATGTGTAGGGATATCTGATCTGCAAGACGAACATAGAACCCAACAAAGGGTTCGACCAGAGATTTCCAAAAAAAAACAACACGCTGTGGGGGCTTCATGGCAAAGTATGGATCCAGATCTACAAGGTTCGCGCCCCAGATCTGGCCAAAGGCCAACCGCCTCCGAACGAAAACCCGGCAAAGGGTACCACGAGCATCCTGAGATTTGAATATGCATCCGCGACGGCAAAGCCTCCCAGCAAATATATGGAAGTCCGAAATTGAACATCGGGGTTCCAGAAAAATCACCCAAGTGGGCGCCCATTTCTTTAAAGGGCTTGTGCAACCACCCCGCGTGTTTGAGTCACCTAGCCCATGCGCCACGCGGCTGGCGTCCTGCCGCAGTGACCCCAGGGCCGCCAGCACGTCCCGCAACTCTGGAGGATCGGCCTCTCCTCGGATGCTCGGACGGGAGGAAAAACGGCAGTGGAACGTGAGTCGCCTAACCAAGGGTGGTGTCATTCTTTTTCAGGGCGCAAAATTCACGGGGGAAAAAAAAAAAAAACACGCAGTGTGTGGCGTTTTTCCTCAGTAAAGGGCGTGATTCTGTCTATAGCCATGGCGGGGTGAGTAGTGGTTGGGGGGTAGTGCAAAGCCTCTTGGCCACACGCGCCATGGATATTCAAACCCGCGGCAAAACGAGTTGGAAGGTCATGACCCTGAATGGTCCTTACTGGCCCCGAAATCAAACTGATAGTCCCGGTGTGTGCGTGTGCTTGCTTGCTTGCTTGCTTTGCTTTGCTTTGCTTTCTGCTTTGCTTTTTGCTTTGCTTTGCTTTGCTTTGCTTTGCCTTGCCTGCTTGCCTTGCCTGCTTGCCTTGCCTTGCCTTGCCTGCTTGCTTGCGTGTGTGTGAGAGAAAGAGTGATGATCCCGACATCTCACCATCCCCCCTTGCAGAAGGACCACTGCGGCCCTCCTGCAAAAATTGGAAAGATACCATGACGAGCCACTGTGGTACGGTATCCAAACCACGGATACGCAAATTTGGCCCCAAAAACGCCCCCAAAGCCCAGTCGACGCGTCGAAGCCTAGGTGTCCTTTTTTAGGGGGAATAGATGGCCCTGGTCGATGATTCAACCACCACACAAAAACCAGGGATCGCCCTCTATTGTTCTGAGCAAAAACCACCAAAAAGGGCACCAACACATTGCTCATCTCAGCTGCAAGCCATCGACCCCGGAAAAACCGACACCGACGCCGAGCCGACGAAACGAGGCGACGCCGAAGGCGCCGAGGGCCGCGAGGAGCTGCGGCGCCCAGAGCTTCGCCGCCGCGGCGCCCAGGCGACACAGCGCCAGCGCCGCCACGCCGCGGACGCGGCCGCAGGCGTCCGACAGCAGGGCGCCGATGGCGTCGGCCTTAAGCCAAGAACAAGAATGGAAGGAGTGGAAGGAGTGGAAGGAGTGGAAGGAGTGGAAGGAGTGGAAGGAGTGGAAGGAGTGGAAGGAGTGGAAGGAGTGGAAGGAGTGGAAGGAGTGGAAGGAGTGGAAGGAGTGGAAGGAGTGGAAGGAGTGGAAGGAGTGGAAGGAGTGGAAGGAGTTGAGCTGGTTCTGTTTTGCTTTTGTTTGGTGAGATGCCCTGGGAGTGCACTTGTTTCCAATCTTTGGCGGGTTGGGCAGAAAACCGACAAGAACCTAAACCCAAACAACACAAGAAATGCAAGAAACACACACCGCATGCTCCCCCACCAGGCACCCCTTGGGTCTGCAATCTTGTTTGTACTTGTTCGGCGTTCGAGTCGTTTTGCAGTTTGGGGTAGAACACTAAAACAGCTATAGAACAAACAACGACCACCCTAAGGGGGTCATGCGGGGGCAAGTGGTGCGCATGTTTGTTTGCTTCAGGTTTGATTTAATATCAGACTGCTCAGTTTACGTGTGTTCCAGATAATCCAGCGTAGTTTGACAATGAACATATAGCGGCGTATGCAAACCGATGTAATTTCCAAAAGATGCTCTGGCGGGTTTTCTTCAAAAGAACGATCATCTACGTCATACTGTCATAACTGGACTTGCACAATGACAATATCATACTTTGCCAATGAACGCCTATCTAGATACACACAAGTGGGGGTATATATGTTCCTATTGGCATTTTGCTATACCGATTGAAACCACGGGATATGCTAGACAAGTCATATATTGCATCACAATCGTAAAGACATGAAGCCAATAGCACTGACAAGCTGTTGAAGCTGCAGTGTAAGGAGGAGCAACATATGATTGCATATATCAGAAATATTGTTCGGATTCAGACTTTCAAGGGCTGAAACACATGGAGACACACATGGAGACACACATGGAAAGCGGATGAGTAGCCAAATTCCGATACTTCGTGTTTCTTGTTTGTGGGGGGGGGGGGGTGATAGGAAGTAGGTTTGCTTTCTTGGATTTGTTGGGGAGGCGCCATGCGGACAAAACTGAGAAGAGCGGCAAGAAGGGCAAGCGGCACTGGAAAAGCAGAAGTCACACACACACTCACAAATCTTGCAGGAGGTGTGATGTGTTGAGTCGTTGGCTGTAATTGTTTGGGTAACACAATTGACATCCCTTCCAACCTCTCAATAAATGCACTCTATTAATAAACGTGTTGTGTTTCCCAAAGCAAAACCACCAATACTAGAAGTAGGCCAATATCTGATGCGTAGTGAGTTCAATAAATTCATTTTGAATGGCAACATCAAAAGCAATTTGTCAGTACAACTCAAGACAGTCGATTGTAATCACTAGCTATGGCAAGCTCAATTGTCCGGTATGAAACCTCGAATGTCCAATGTCCGGACAACACACAGACCTTCTGTCGCAACCTAGCGGATTGTATACGCATCGCCGCCTCGCCCTTTGTGACTGAGTGACCGCCTCAGGAACTTCCGCCAGAACTGGAGTAGTGGAGCCCTGAAAGACCCGCAGCGCCGCACGCCGCACCTGGCAGGTTGAGCCTATGGGATTCAGGCAGCCTTTGGGCAGTTCGGGGCAGTTTAGCCGCCGCAACCCGAACACCCACCCGAACACCCACCCGAACACCCACCCTGCACTATCCCTGAACCATCACAACCCCATCACAGGACCAGGGGTGGGGCTGATCGACCATGACCATTGGGAACACACCATATACCAAACACGAACCAACTAGCGGAGGAGGGCTGGAGCAATCTCTCAATCCAACCAACAACACACTTGGCATCAAACAGCTGTGAGGCGCTGCGCTGCAAGAAGGTCGCGCAGCAATGCAGTGCCAATTCAAGAGCCCTCCATCCAGCTTTGGCCCCACCGAGCGAATCCCAGTGTGTCAGAGCGGATTTAAAAAATACTGAAGCCGCTGAAGCCAGTGTGGCCTAGTCACGATTGGTGACTATTTCTCATGAAGGGCCAGTAAGAAAAAAACAAAAACACATTCTGGTCCATGCACCTCAAAATCTTACTTCTTCCCTTTCACATACCTCTACATGGTGTCTATCTGGGCCATTCCTTGTGTCAAACCCAAAGAAGTGACCAGCAGGGCCTTCCGGCTCCCCTGGCCATGGCTCTGATGTGTTGAGTTCAATGCTTTTGGTTGGCGAACCAAAAGTAAACCTAGTCGGGTTTATTTCGTCACTTTTACTCAACCCCCCCCCCCCCTCCCCCACAAAAAACAAATAGTTTCAATTGACAAGTATGGTGACTTTTATTCAACCCCACCCTCCCCTCCCCCCACCAAAAAGCAAATACTTTATTTCAAGTGGTGACAAGCAAACCCATATTAAACGGGACAACCGACTGGTGCCTCCGGGCTTCGGTGCTGCAGCAACGGCGCGGTGCTCCTCAGGCCCTCGCCCCCCAGGTGACGCAGCACGCGCACCGCCGCTTGGCGCTCCGCCTGGGCGCCCGTCACCTTCAGCGAGCGCGGGTCCCGTTTTTTTTGGGGTCGCCCCCTCCACGAGGTACTCAAAGGGAAGCCCCAAAAAGATTCACCAAGAGGAAATGAACCGATTCCTAGTGGACTTGAGAGGTTTCCGGAAAGACCAATCGAGGCCGTTTACACGATTTCGGTTGCGAGAAATCAAGTCTTTGGGGGAGTTTGACGTTTTGGGGTGGAGTATGGTCGCAGTCGCAAGGCACCAGGACCTGCATGAAAAGGTGCCAAGGCATTTTCCGGCATCGTTTTTCAGGGGCCGGGGATATGATCTGCAAACATGACAGTTCTTTTTGCAAATCGGTTGGAAACCAAACCAGATGGGCACCCCATGGTTTGCCCCTGTCGGCTTCCCTTTGCACCAACACACAAACACACACAGCAACCAGTTGATTATGGTAACTTGTTTTGGGCAGCGCAGCCAGCAAAAGGTGAAGCAAGGTAAGGGTAACCAGCAAAATGGAACCTCTGAGGCCAAGATGCCTTAGGCGTCGAAAACGGTTGGCCAAAACCAGATGGGCACCCCATGGTTTGATGAGACAAATCCTTTTTGCAAATCTGTTGGAAACAAACCCAGATGGAAATCTCCCATGTGTGTTTTCCTTCGGCTTCCCTTTACACCAATCCAAAGACGGGGTAACCCCCACGCCCCACGCGCCCAACGGGGCCCCGTCCGCCGGGCGGCGAGGCGCGCCAGCGCCAGCGGCGCGCTGGCAGCGCCCAGCAGCGCCAGGCCCTCGGCGGCGAAGTCCGCGACGCCCGGCTCGTGGGACAGCAACGGAGCCACCTGAGGCGGTTGGAGATGGCCATGCCATGTAGATATATACACATTAGCTCTATCTGCCTGTGTATATATATATATACATGTGTCTATAAAGAGAGAGAGAGAGAGAGAGAGAGAGACAAGGACACCTGTGCATACAAAAAAACATACACATGTGATTGCGCATTATTCACAGGAGATGTCCAGGCCCCCAAATCAGGTCTAACAAGGACAACTGAGAATATGCATGCAAACATAAGATGTCTACGCGTGCAACTGGATCTATATACACCTACACGGTACGGCGTAAACCATTCATTGAAATAGACACATATAGCATGTATCTTCCTTGCCGTTTCATGCAGTGTGTATGTGTATAAACAATATGTGGAAAAATATACATTCGTATATGTTACACATGCATGTGTGCATAGACATATATGCAGATGTATATACAAGTGTTATACTTGTATATATAGAACAAGTTGTTATAATGTATGTATATATATATATATATATTATAATGCATAAACTTGTGTCAAACACATGAATAGATACATGGACATATGTGCATGTATGTATATGTAATGGTTATATATATATAAGTGTTGTAATAATAATATATATATATATATATATACATTGCAAACTACACATGCGTAAACTTGTGCCAAACACTTATTCACATGTATAAGTATATCATGTATTTCTCGCTTACTCATCAACCATTGAACCATGCAGCTTCATTGAAGCATGTTGGCAACATAGTTGCCATGTTCACGTTGTATCTATGCATTGGGATTGATACAATGTCATGTCATAGATACATTGTGTCTGCCAAATTCATATGTTCAGAATTGATGCTGATTGTCGCCTCCAACAATCTAGCGGAGCGGGAATTTCCTGTTTGCCTATGACAAGGATTTTGTGTAGCCACGTTACAAAGAGTGATGGTTCTCCTCATTGGAACCCTGCTTGAGGGGGACGGAAAACGAACCCACGAATTCTGTTCTCTAGAAGTATGAGAAGGAAAGGGATGAGGCATGGTCATATTTTCTGTAGACCAACATGATCGCATTTAGAAGTCCTCACACAGTGAAATCCTGATGATCATTGTCTATGCATCCAGTTCAGCACATTTACTGAAGCCCACCAAACAGGATTTGGGGGATGGTCCTGTTTTGAACTACCTGAGGCGAACAAACCAACAAAACAGGATGAAAAATCATTGCCACTACAACTGACCCGACCACGTGATTCCAAAGATCGGCACATCGGCCAGGAAAAGCGGGCACAACAACCCTTGATTTCCGCAAGCAGGGTTGCCAAGGCTGTTCGAACTTATAGTTGGCGAGCATGCCCGGATCCTGTACGGTTTGTCGGTGAGTCCTCTGTTAGCGCTGTCATGGGACCCATCAAAAAAGGCACAATCTAGAATATTTGCGGGCTAGAATTAGACCTTTGGGTTGTTCTCTGGAGTAAAGTGGCCACAGCACAGTCACCCGTCCACCCAACTTTTGGGAGGAGCCACAGCCGCGGCCACGTTGGCACGGTTGAAGTCGGAGCACCTGGCCAGTCAGACTGAGGTATCCTCTTTCCAAAGGATGTGGACAGGGAGGTTCCTTAAGAGAATGTAGTCTTCGCACACCTTCTGATCGCTTCCATTGTTGGAGGGACCTTGGGGGCTCGCCGCATCAGATCGAGGAACAACAAAAACTGGGGTCCTCAAGATCGAGACACATGCAATGTCAAAGTCGTAGACTTGCATACTTGGCGGGAATAAATCAAGCACGGGCGTCAACATGATGGCTATTGTTCAGCAAGTTGTTTCCTGCACAAGGCTACGCAGCCCTCATGCTTCTCTGCGTAAACCTGCTTTCAACAGCAACCACGAAGCCTTGATACTGCGACACAGCAATCGCATTTTGCAAAGTCCAAAAGCAGCTGGAGCTTGTCAAACCTCAGCTCCATTTTGCAAAGGCAGGCAACTTGACAGCAACTCCTTCGGCGCAACTTTGGCCGAGACCTTCACCCAAGACCTTTCCGCCGCCCAAAGAGCCAAGCGCCGAGGCGCTCAGCGGCCAACTGGCAGAAGGACTTGGCGGCTTGCCGGCGCACGTTGGCGCACTCGTCATGCAGGCACGCAGCCTTAGGTCCCGGGCCCAACCCAAATCTCCATGGCATGGTGCCTTTCTCGCCGGACCCTCAAACTGGGGGGGCCAGTTGTCTGGGCTGAATCAAGCCACCAAGATTTCCTGTCGCAGTCACTGTGAAATCTCAACGGGTGCCCACCGCTATGCACAAGCAACACGATAGGGTTGTTGTTGTTATTGCGGTCTTGGGCAATCAAAAAAGGCCTGGTCTGTCTGACTCAGGCAAAAAACAACCTGCAAAAAGGATAAGCTCCCAGAAGAAACGTTGCTGCTACCCGCCCCTCCACTTGAGCCTGTGGAGAGGCTACTGTGGTGACTTCAAGGATGTTTGCTTTGCTGGGATTTCAACAGACCTGTGCGTGCAGGTTTCTTTCCTGATTGAAAGAGAACACAATCAAGAAAGCAATCTCAAGGCGAATGACTTTGTCTTCCCCCAATTCCTTGTCCATTTTGTCGCTGTTCGCAAACTTACGTAGACCCAGCGGGCCCTTTGACCCCGCTGAAGTTGATTCAACCCGTCGCTCTGCAAAAAACCATTCCCTTCCGCCTACTATAGGGGGTCCCGCAAGACAATTTATCCTCTAAAAGAAGCTTTCTGGCAGGTTCCATGTTGGTCTTTGCAACTTCGGGTTAATCTGGAGGAGCCACCAGTCAGAAAATAGATAGTTTGTTGATTACCAAAGGAGGAACCCCGTGATTGATGCGGTCCTCCAGAATCCGAGGCTAACATTGAGCCAAAACCCCGAACGGCCGTTGGAAAAACCTTGTGGCGCTCCTTTTGTAGTTGTTTTAAAGGTACCCCTCCCGCTCCCCGCCTCCTCCCCCCCCTCCTCCCCCCCCCCCCTCCCCCCCCTTCCTCCCCGCCCCTCCCCCACCACACACACAAAAGGAACAAAAAGGCATCACCACAAAGGAGCCTTGCGCCGAGAGGCGATGGATTTGGCGCAGGAAGAAGCCGCTGACCCTGCTGCGCCCATGGCCTGCAGCACGTGCTCCCGCACCTCGGGCCAGGCTATGGAGTTCTGCTCACGGGCCAATGTAATGATGCGATATTCCGATATTCCCACGTCACACCCGAGTTCGGTTTCCAAAATGACCTTCTACATGTCATGTGGCACCGTTTTTGCTTTTCTGCTCGATGAAGCAGCAACCTGAGACGAAGCAGTAACACTCAAAGCTGGTACACATTTTGGGGGCTCACGAGCCCAGCCACAGGCCCGAGCTGAAAAACCACCAACAGCTGTAGCTTCCAAGGCACCGCGTGGTGGCTGTCTTTCAACAGCTCCTCGTGCACTAGCCACCAGCCGACCCAGCCCCCCCCCTTCGCGCGTGGTAAGCCGGAGATCCGAGTATCACCCGGAAACGTGTCCGATACATTGAGTTCCCTCTTTTGGCATGTGAATCAATTGTAAGCCACATATAAGGCACTCCACGGTTGTCCTTGTTCCCTACTCCCCACTTGCAATATCTAGTGAGTCAACCGTCGTGACAACGGAAGCTGCACCTTCTCCATTGCCCCTGAGCGCCTCCAGCCTTCAAGGGCTACGACATCCACTTGAACGAGAAGTCTCCAGGTAAATGCCCTGGCCGTCTGGGAGCTCAAATCTCAAGTTCACCCAGTGTTGTCTCGGGATATCCAAACCAGGTCCTTGTCATTTCAAGGCCCGTCCCTTCTCAACCAGATCCCTACCGCGAAGAGCCTGCGTTTGCCGCGGCTTTGCCTCAGGACCAAGCCAAGCAACGTGAATCAAACCCAGAAAGCCAACCAAACGGATTCAAGAAGAACCAGAACAAACCCAAGCAAACCCACACTCAAGCCAAACCCACCCCTGAACATCCCAGCATCCTCTCCTGCGCCTGGCAAATCATCCGGAGCTTCTCCCGCGGCAGCTGGCTGAGGCCATTGGCCAGCCCCTGCCGCGCCTTCAAACCCAGGCAGAAGTCCTCCAGACCGAAGCCCTCCTGGCCGATCGTGCCAAAGACACGGCACAGCGTGTGATGCTTGGATCCCAAATCAGCTGAGGGCACAAAGGGTAGATTTCCATAAGGGTCGTAAACTACCAAGCGAGGTTGGGCTCGAAAAACTTCGAGGCTTGTGATACGATTCATGATCCGTCCATAAATCCCAAAGATGCATCCACCCGCAAAAGCTGGAACGACACTCTGTGAGGCCTTGAGCATCATGTGCTTAACTCTGCGCTACTTCTACATTACCTCTGCCCTGCTCTACCCTACCTCCGCCTCTACCTCTACCTCTGCCTCTACCCTACTGTACCTCTTACCCCTTCCTCTACCTCTACTCTATGGTGTTCACTAACTTCCTTTGACAACAGCTATGACAAAATAATGTACTGCTTGTTCTTCGCAAACGCACGGGGTAGCCATATAGTCCAGATGTGCAGATCAAAGGAAACTGATCTGAACCATAGCGTGGTCTGCCCGACGTCTCTCGTTCGAGACATGGAAGTTCACTATCCTTCCCTGTTCGAGTGCCACCAAAACAGCAACTGACGTCATCTGTTCTGGCTTCAGTCCATCTACGGTCAAAGGAAGTAGAAGTAGCATGGACATCTGTACAGCAGCTCGAGTACGCCCGATGTGACGACTACCAAAACAGCGCAGTCCACTTATTGTTTGCTGAACCACCCCGAGACTTCTCCGTGGCTCAGCCATCTGGGGTGAGGGTTCAAGGCCTGGGAAAAGACACCAGGATTCTGCAACAGCGCATGTTCCACCAACGTTTGCATTTCAAACAAGCAGTCTTCATCACCAGGATTCAATCGTCATTTAAGGCTGAACACACTTGAGCTAGTGATGATGAACTCATGGCATTGAAAGTCGAGCATTTCGTAGCAAAACAATCACAACACCAGCCAATATCATGAACAGAACGACAGGATATGGTTATGTAGGCCACTTACGCATTCTACAATTCGATTCGCCGAGTAACATGTCGTGACCTTTCAGGTTGGACAGAAACTCGTTGCATCTCATTGCATCTTTGGGCTTGGAATGTCAATGGATTTACGCAGCTGTTTCCGCAGCTCTGGGAAGGCAAGTAAACGAACAAACCTTTTTCCAAACCATTTGGCATCCACACCCCTTCTTGCACGCTTTTGCAATTGTGCAACGTACAGCAGTCTCGCCGCTAAGATGGCCTTTCGCAGGGTGTCAACGGGGGACGTTTCTGCTTGCCTTGCACCATCTGTGAGCCACCTGCCTGCACGATCTTCTTGCGAGGCGACCAAATCAGCAGGCGGAAATACGGGGCTTTTCGGGCCGGAAAACCATCAGGTAAGTGGTTAGTAAATGGGGCAATAACCCACATTTTTCACTAAACCCACTTAGTAAACTGGTTATAACCCATGGCTCCACTCTATCGCTCGGGATTAATCGCTGCCTAACCGGTTGGATCGGTGCACAAAAATAGGGGGCGGCCCTGGATGCAGCTCATAAGCCTTTTGGGTTGTCTGTCTCCCGGCTCCTTGCGCTCGCCCTCCAGGAGCTGCCAAGCCATGGCCTGGCGCGCCCGCGAGCCGCTCCGCCAGAGCCACCTGAGGGCTCAGACGCGGGAGCTTTGGGGCGGGTTGGCGTGTTGCTGCGGCCATTTTGACCGGTTAACCTGGGTGTTAAAGTCAGAAAATGGACTCGGTTGATTCCCTTTAACCCACTTAGGGGCTGACTTTGATAGTTTAATATCATGAGGCCAGTGGCGTGTGTTGGTTACCTGGTTTGTTCGAGTCACGCCATGCTTGACTTGCTCTGTTACGTTGCCAGACGCGCGCTTGTCTGGTTCCAATGCCGTCCAAGCCATGCTCGACAGCGGCCGGATAGCTTCATGAGAGTCCATGAGAATCTCAGCCACCCACAAAATGCGTTTTGACCACACACATATCCCCCCAAGTCGCGGGGCAGCGGAGATGACAAAACAGGGAGTTTCCTTAAATCATAGTGTAGGGAGTTTTGAACTGGCCTGCCCTCAGATCCCCTGCCAAAAGTTTAACTTTTAGTGGGTTAAATGGAAACTACCACTAAACCAGAAAAGCCTAAAAAGCTAAGGAACCGGACGGCTGGGGGCCACCAAGTGAAGTCTTTGACGGCGCTGGCCTCTCCACCACCTGCTGCAGGCGCTCGCAGAGCAGAAAGCGACTGAGCGCCAGCAAGCGCAGCGCCGCGCAGGCGTCCGCGCGGGCGCGGGAGGCGGAGGCCAGCCTCGGAGATCTTCGACGCAAGCCGCGAGGTCGTTGGGTCTCAGGCAGATGGCTGTGGTTGTCAAAACCAATGGGATCCCATTTTGGGGTAGCTGCACCACCCATTTTAGTCTATTTTGGTGGGGATTGGGATGTTCACTGGGGGTGCGGGCTTTTGACACATGGCCAAATGAGGTCGTTGCAGGGCTGTGGGAAATGGAATCCACTTCTGTGATACAAACAAAAGGGCGTCCCAAAGACTAACCCCCCTACAACAAGGAGGTTATTTTATTGTATCACAGAAGTGGGGATACACCCCTTGATCCCACAACCCTGGGTCGTTGGGTCTCAGGAGGATATGAGTCCAAGGCGGGGATGTTGAAGTGGCATTTTGAGTTGCTAGTTGGGCGAGCATGGCTTAGCCAATTTCCATTGGTCTCAACGCCAGTGCTTCCTTCAGCAAGGTATGATCAACAGTGTAAGGGTCTTAGGATGACGTCAAAGAAACGCAGCCTATCCTGTCCAGTAGCAGCTGTCCGTCATACGTATGGATCTGAGACGAGGCTCGTTGGCATCCGTTGCTCATTTTTGGGCCAAGGCTCGCTTTCAAGGTCATGGGTCTCAGATCCTGCGAGGACATGCGATCAAAGGGCGTTGATCCACATCCAGTGTGCAGCTATCTTGCTGTGGTCGGCAAGCCATCGCAGAATTGGTCAAACTGTGGGAATGTACATCCACGTAGCCCTTGCCTCTGTGCAAAAGAGATCCTGCCTAAGTCTGAAAGAAAGCCACGGCTGAAATCGTCTGGGGACGTCGACCAAGCTACCCTTCAGAACAAAGGTTGCGAGCAATCCAAGTGAGAACATTCCTGCATTGCAAACTTACTTGAACTGTCAAACGAATAACTTGTTCATCGCATCCAAGCAGTTAACGAAGTGCCGATTCCATGGCGCCCTCCCAGCAAAACCCGATCAAATGACATAACAGGCACTTGATATGCTATTCAGCGCTTCATACCGAGTTGCTAGCCAGAAAGGGGCATACCGCACACGGATCAGTGAATAAGAAGAATCCAACATCGAGTATATTTTTGTGCTGTCGACCCCCAATCGTAAAACTCCCGGGTCTCAGTGAGACATTCCGCGGGAATTATGGAAGGGCTTCCCTCACTATGCGCATCATACCATCAACAACACAGGATAAATATTGGATTACCCAGCACGTCCCACATCAAGGGCACAGCACAAGACATGTGCGTGCAACAAACCACCTCCAGGCATATTGCAAACATCTGCTTTGCTAGCATGCTGAGGAACACGTGCTCAATGCAAGGAACTAAACACTCCACTCGCAGATCTTCCAGTGGCCACAACCCTGAAAGAAAACGGGAATCCAACAATTATGCATTTCAACAGCAAGGCATATTCAAAATTGCCGCCCCAACCACTGAAAACCTGTCCTGGTCCGAGAACACCCCTGCCACCCCCAGCGGCAAGTGCTGGCTCTCCTCGGTGGGTGCAATCGTCGAGCAACATTCATAGATTCATAGTTGACCAACTTTTTTCCGGAAGACCCCACCACATGGCCTCCAATTCATTTTGGAGATTCGAGTCAGCTCTAGCATGCTGAACTCGGGCAAAGGGTTGCAAGCGCAAACCTAAGGCCAAAACTGCCTGCAACATGCTGACCTCCCGGAGCCAGCCTGTTGCATTCCTCCGTTTCCCTGTAGCTTGCAAGTTCTTAGGACATCTAAGAGTCTAAGAGCAACCTCACCGACTCACTGGCCATCTTTAAGTTGATGTCAACGCATGGTTGGCGTGGGGCAAGGTCTAGCAATAACCTCACCAGCAATTTATTGTGGGAGTCATGATCGGTATGGGACTATGTCATTTGCCTTCTCTGGAGTTCGAAGCCCCACCGAGGCGCCCCCAGCCACGCCAGCACCGGGAGCAGCATCTTGCGGGCTCCGCGGCTGAGGCGCGCCGAGCGAGGCACCAAGGAGCAAAGCTCCGCCAGAGAGATGTCCAGGTCCTCCTGCGCTGTGGCCCCCAGAGGAAGCCTCTTTTTGCCGGTTCCATTAAATCCAAGCCAAACAAGATCCAAACTTCTTGCTGACCGCAGCCCTTGAGTGTAAGGGCGCATGTCCAAAGGGCATCGTCTTTTTGACCGTTTCACTCCTTTTACCCTGTAAACCCGAAGGTGTGTTTCAAGGGAAGATTCTGCTTGACTGCCCAACCAAAGCAGGTTTGTAGTCTTGGAAAGACCCCCCTGCTGAAGTGATTTGTGGTGAGGGATGCCAGAGATCCGTTTTGCAAGAATTGTCCGGAACCTGGTCGACGCCTAGGGTGGTCACGGTGAAAGGGCGGAGAAACAGTTGTGCTAATTCTAGGGGTTGATTCCCAATTATTTTCATCGTTCTTTTCAAAAACCAGCCATTTCCCAAGGGTTTTTGGTGGTTTCTAGAAAGAAGGACCCCTGGAAAGAATGGGGAAGTTACCCCTAGACTAACCACGAGGCACGGTACAGGGCTTGCTTCCTGGGAGCTGTTCTCATGAGCATTTGCAGGCTGAAAGCTTGACGCAAAGGCTTCATTTCCAGACCTCTCGGCTGCGGTTTCTTGGTTGCGCTTTGACGCGTCTAGTTCGGGCATCGGGCGGGTGCAGTGATATGCTTAAGCGTTTGATGTTTGGCTTGGGAATGGCCGGAGGCAAGGATCTGATGAGGTTGTTCTGTTAGTTTGGTGAATCGCAGCTGCGCTCGGCAGTCAGATATCTTTCCTTGGCAGCTTTCCTTGTCATTTGACACAGCTGCATCATGCACCCCTCGACATCGTTGCCCTGAGCTGTCGCTTACCTGTTGCTTTGCCCATGGCGTTTCCTTCAGAGCTTTCTTTCTCGGAAAAGTCTGAAATTATTTTGCAAACAGCATACTAAGGCACTATGCTGGTTTTCCTGGCGCATTGGAAGCGGGGCTGATAAATGAAACATATTCTATTCTTCGGGGTCTGCGGTTAGTTGCGCGCCACGAGCCGTTTTGGTTTGGGCTTTGACTCGAGTATCATTGATTCTTTGAGCGTCGGATCTAGTCACTTCCCGAGTGGATAAGCCCAAAAACAATCCACATGTTAATTGTCCGCTGTCTATGCAAGTATGTACGTAAACACGTAGAAAAAGAGAGGCAAAGAGAGCGAGAGCGAGAGAGAGAGAGAGAGAGTGAGAGAGAGCGAGAGAGAGAGAGAGCGCCAACAATGTATACACATAATATATATATATATATATATATATGACATGGCGTTCCCCCAAAAGCATCGAGTTCAGCCTCTCACAGAACAATATATATACATATATATATGTGTTCTATACTGTTATATATATATATATACAATATGTACATCTATACAGATACACAGTCATACATCACCTATTTATTTGTACAGTGTATGCAGCTATGTCGGATTTCTCTGGCGCCGCAAGCGTGACCAAAGGGACCAAACGGGTCAATTCCAGAAAACGTTAAAGTTGGGTCGCCTGGTACCCGATTCCGCTCCTGGAACCCGGGGCACTCCCGGAAGAAGCCGCAAGCTGCAGCCAGCACGTGCCTTGGAGTAATGGAGCAATCCCTCGATTTGAGACGAATAATGACCTTGCCATGATCCCAATTTGCCTTCACGGATACGAAGAACTGAGATTCCCCTGCTTGCATTCAGAGAATCGCCCATGTCTCTCCCCAAATGGACCATAGACGGGAACATGTTCACCAAAACTCATGTCTGGCTGCCTAGCAAACTCCGAGCTGCGACCGGACCTGCGCCGGAGCCGGGGGCTGCTTTGGCCCCTGGCAGCCGTGCCACAGCCGCGTCCGCGGCACGCCTCGCGCGACCGGTAGGTTTGGCTGGAGCTCGGTTTCAGAGGAAATGGGGCGCCTCAACGGGCAAAGAAGCGCGGACTGGGCAAGAGCGCATGGGGACAACTTCCTGTGGCTGGCAACCCCAAGTCTTCCTCTCTGATCCGAAGAACCTTCCCATCCGGCCTTCTCTGGCCCGGAGCCAGCAGCTACCCCCCCCCTTTTCGGCAGTCCGGCAGAGATAGTGACAGTACCATCAACAGATCGGCAATATATTATAGACTTGCCTACATGCTGGGGCATCCTCTGAAATCCACAGTCGTTTCATGCACTGGTAGCAGCTCGTTTTCAGGTCCCTCAAACCGTGCCGTCAACCCTTGGATTCAGAAACAACTTCAGGAAAGTTCAGCCAGCTTGCCTACTCCCCGGCAACTCCTCTGATTGGTAGGGTCTTTCTCCATCTGAGGTTCACACTGCGGTCTTCACTCATCAGGGATTCCCAAGCTTCGACATTGTTCAAAGGATCCTCACTTCAATCTGGGTCTGGCATTTGTTTCGGGAACCCCCTCTTTGGTCGTTTTTTTAAGGGGACACCAATTGGAAAACCACCATTTTGGGGGGTTCCCGAACTTGAAGACGCGCCCCCAGCGAGTGCAGAGCCTCGGCCGCGCCTCTTCGCTTCTTTGGCCGAGGCGCCATGTGCTCAAGCAAGCGGTCAAGCCAAACCTGGATCTTCCTTTCCTAGACTTGGGAAGGGACGCAAGATGTTCTTGGCAGTCTCTTGCCTTTACAAACATCATCTTGTGGCCACCTGGTTGGAGCAGTGATAAAGCCGAAGCTTAAGGTGCGCGACTGGGAAGTTGAACTCTTATAACTCTTGCAACACTGCAGCATTTTGGGCCTTGATCCAAGCTGGCGCCGTACTGACAGACGGAAAGACAACCATCTTGCAGAATAGCGCTGAGTGTGCAACCAGCGCTGCTTCGGATTGTGAGGACTGCATGAATCATCATGAGGTCTGCTGCATGACTAGTATCCAGCTCATCTGGAAGGAACCCTGAGCCACAAATGATGGGATACTTGGGTTCACAAACCAGCGGGAAAGAAGTCTTAGGCGTTGAGCCGAAGTTCCTACTCCTTCACGCAAGACCTCCTTCACGCCTTGACCCTTGGGATTACAAAGCTTGACACAATATATATATATATATTAATATATATAGAGAGAGAGATGTGTACACATGTGTGTGTGAGTGGGTGGCTGCAAACGTCAAAACTCCCTACTCTTCTCTACATGGAACCCAAAAAGGGCTCCCCCAGAAGGAGAATTCCTCTTCACATGGGTGTCCTCCATGTTAACCAGGAGTGTGGGTCACGAATCCTTGAAGAGGAATCCTGGTGGTTGTCTAACCTCACGACTGACGGGTTCATGACTCCCAGTAACCCCAAGTAAGGTGTCTTGTGACCATGGGGTGTATTGTCCATCTGGGACCGAATTCCTACAGCCAGTGGACTCTATGATGACATGGGCGCACTACAGTCGTAGCACCTCTCTATCTGAATTGCATCACTGGATCCTCTCCCCACAAAACTCTGTGCAGGTCGCACAAAGTCGTTCCGTCCGCGTTGGTGCGCTGGTTCGTGGAAATGCTGACCTGCACCTGTCAGCAGGAAGCTGCGAGAACTGAAGCTTTGCGGGAAATTGGTTTGTGAGAGTCCTTCGGCGGATAAAACATGTCTCGCTGCCGATGTTCGCTTGAAAATGCTCAAAAATGGATACGTACACAGCCCACCCTAGATCAGTCCTAGCCCCGACTCCACGGGCTAACATGGAAACCACCCTTGCTCATATTATAATATGTTAATGTGCTTTTGTCCTGCCCGTCATGATTCAAAGGAAATCCCAACTGCCAAGTCACTAATGGGGTGAGGGATTTGTTTGGAGCAATCCATCCACTGCACGTCACAGCTGGTCTAAAACCAAAAAACACGCGTGCCAAAACTGACAAATATCCCTCCAAACAAAACGGGGATGTTGGGCTGGCCTCACTAAGGCAGGCCCTATCTCGGTCCCCAGTGGCAACGTCCCATGATAAGCCGTCAAACCAAGTATCCCTGCGTGGATATGTGTGTGTGCAAGTGTAAATCTACAAATATGTACAAGTGATTAATGATTTTGCCAGTTTGTCTGTCCGACGCGTGTCCCTGCTTCCATAAAGAAACAACAAACAACAACGCCAATCTCCCCGCTCCTATCACTGCTGTTGCAGTGGTGCAAAGGGTAGGGCCTGTTGTGCTTTTTGCTGCCGAGATTTGGTCTCCAAGCCGATTGGGCCAAGAGCATTTTGGAGGCTACTAGCCATATAGGCTATAGGGAGCTGCGTGGGGCCCTGGCTGTTGCTTTGTGTGCTTGGAAGTTGCGGCTCTCGTCAAAGGCTATTCAAAGAGCTTGCTTGTTCTTTGCTAAGGTTTCCCAAGGTTTCCCTGCTGCCGCTGGACCGTCCTCATGTCATGGTCGTTTTGGCACAGACATGCACGCATCAGCGACGCGACGAAGCTGAGCTTATGCACAGCGCAGGGAGAGGCGCTGCCGGGCTTGAGCTCGATCTCCAACTTTTGACCCACTCGGTTCCCGACCGGCTGGCGCGCTCAAAGTCTTGTTTGGGCATAGAGAACGGGCCTTCACTGGGCTTGGGCTCTGGCCGCTTTGGCGCCCGGACCTTCACTGCTCTGAAACCTTGGTTGTCTGCCCTTCGTGCAGTGCGGCGCGTGTGTATGTGAGCCATCTGTTTTTTCTAGCCCTGGCACTGTTAAAGTATTTCTCCGGTCTGGCCTTCGCAATCACGTGTCACGCAGGATGGACGTAAAATATGTCTTGTTTTGCCTCTTCCGCTCTTCAGGCGGTCTTGAGGTACATACTGCGAGAATTAGGTATGGCTGACTCGTTATGCGACTGGTCTGCACGGCGCTGCAGTGTGACTGAGGAAAACTGAGGTTTAAGTGCGCTGCAACGATCTGCTAGCATCCGCTAGGTGTATCGCGCAGCCCACTGCGCCCCCTCAATTAACCTCTCTTGAGGTAGGTTTGCGGGCCCTCGATCAAGAATCAAAATCGCAAGGCAACACCATCTGCACCCATTCATCTTTCAGAACCATAATTTTTATTCATGACTCAGTCGTTGCGCCGTGATCCCAGAGATAGAACACTCTGGGCTCGTCTCAAAATGAAGGACCCTCAAATGGTTTCCTTTGGGTTTGCCTGAAATCCCCACCCAAAAGCCCTAAAGGGGGGGTCGCCCGCAAACCAAAAAGCATCCCCCGAAACCGGCGCGCCGTGTTGCCGCTCCAGTCCCAAGGTCTGTCGATGGCGGCGACCTAGGCAGGAGGCCGCGTGCTGAGAGGGTTCTTACCGGGAGGCCCAACCAAAATGATTGGCAGAAGGCCCCGAAAGCACCTGGTTCATGGGCGACTAAGACCCCCAACAAAAGAACTGGCTATGATTCTTGCAGTGCAATTGTGTCAGGAATGGGGGGATGCCGTACACAATTCTTCAACATTGTGTATTGTTGAGCCCGGATTAATAAAGCCCTGCTTATCACTATGGGGGTGCTCCCCTCTAAACCTGATAAATCCCCACTAAAACCAGCAACACCCCAATAATACTAAACAGGGGTTTGTTAACCTGGGGTCAGAATTTAAAATCCAGCTCGGACCAGAACAAAGCGTCGTTCCGGAAGCCTGTCGGCAAGAAAAACCTTTCCATCATGTGAAACCTAGAGAAAGAGTACGCTGATGAAGCACCTACCATGGAGGCACTAGTGGAATCGCTAGGCCAATCCATCTACTTGTCTGAGACGCTTCTAAGTCTTCATGTTCCCAAACAAACAACAAACATCCAATCCAGCAGCATTCAAGATTGTAAGCTCAACAGCAACCCACTGCAGCTGGGTGACGTTGAGCAGCACCATTGAGGTCACCACCTTGGCTATCAGCGCAGGTCGGAGGCTTTATGTGTACAGAGTCATTCAACGTGTGGAGAAAAATATCCAAAACCGACTGGTCAAAAAACATGTCCATTGCCTTCCATCAAGTTCACTCGCAGGGCATGCAGGGCCGGGGTCCATCTATTGCTTTGGGCACAATGTGGCTGTGGGTCAACACCAATGGTACCATTTTGGGGTAGGTTCAACACCCATTGTAGTCTATTTTAGTGGGGATTGGGATGTTCACTGGGGGTACGGGCTTTTGACCCATGGCCATGTGGCAAGATGGAGACGCTGAAGCAAGGCTGCTGGAGTTGAGCCACAAGGGCGGAGTTCCTTGCTTGAGATCTCCCTGCGGGCGTTGGATTCCTCATCAATGTTGCGCATGCAAGGCTTCAGGTACTCCAGACAATAAAACCAAAAGCTTCGGCCCAATTGGGACACCCAATAATAATGACCCAGGGTCCAACAGCTGAACACCTGCTGACCCAGTACTGCATGCTGCATATCCATGCTTCCAAAGCAGTCAACATCCTCCCCCCCAATCCCCTGCCCCTTCTAACCGCGGGCAAGTCGCTATCGAGCTCACTTGCGGAGCCATGGTCGCCAGGGACTCGCTGAGGCGCGGCCAACTGAGGCCCTCCTAGCCGAAACCCCCGCCGGACTATGTGGGTCAAAACTCCGGTTGGCCCCCAGTGAACATCCCAATCCAACCAAAATAAGTTCTAAAATGGGTGGTGAATTCACCTACCCCAAAATGGTACCGTTGGTTTTGACCCACAGCCATATGCGAATGGACAATACGTCCCAGAGTCCCGTGACGCCCCAGAACCCCTCGTCAATCGCTGGCAGGGAACCTCGGCCCCCTGACGAACCCTGGCCTCGCACAAGGCAAGCTACTGTGGATGGACAAAATCCTGCACCACCCAAGACACCATGGGAAACCACGGTTTGTTGGTATCATATCATTCTAGGGTTGCTTCGGTGGTGCGAAATGGATTTCGTCCATCCATGTCTGTTCCTTCATGTTCCTTCTGCTTTTGGTCTTTAAGGGCAGTCATGGGACTGGAGGCCTCCAAATCCGCGCCTCCCGGGCCCGCCGAGCAGTGGCAGGGCCACGGCTGGAGCCTGGCCGCCGACGCCAGCTCTCTGGCATGAACTTTGCAAAATCCGCCTGTGTCCAGCTAAACAACTCAAGGGAATCATGGAAGCTAGCTATGAGCCTTTGTTTCGTGATCTCTGCGGGAAACACTAGACCACGGTTGGCCCGAAAGCAGAACATCGCAAGCGAGGTCGGCCCAACGCTGCAGGATGCGTTCTTTTTCCCTACACTTCGTGAAGCAAGCGCGAGACAGCACCAGGCAAGGTGCTCTGCGCAAACTGGTCGGTGCAAGTTGGTCTGCGCAAGTTGCTCTACGCAAGTTGCACTGTGCAAGTTGCTCTGCGCAAGTTGCTCCGCGCAAGTTGCTCCGGCAAGTTGGTCCCTGCAAGTTGCTTGTGCAAATTGCGCTCCCTGCAAGTTGCTCTGTGCAAGCTGCTCTGTGCAAGTTGCTCTGTGCAAGTTGCTCTGCGTAAGTTGCTCTGCGCAAGTTGCTCTAGGCAAGGCGCTCTGCGCAAACTGGTCGGTGCAAGTTGGTCTGCGCAAGTTGCTCTGTGCAACTTGCTCTGCGCAAGTTGCTCTGCGCAAGTTGCTGTAAAATGCAAGTTGCATCTTGCGACGCCCGCCCGCGGACCAGGGAGGAATCGAACCCGCGACCCGCCGGTTCCGGGAGCAGGCGCGCGAACCACGAGACAACTCCCGAGGACCAGTTCGAACAACAAAAGTCGCAAAAAACCTTGAGTTTTTGCACCTCGACCACGCCGATTCCCGCAGAGGGTTGCGCGAGCACCGCAGAAATCGCAAAAAACCATGGGTTTTTGCACCTCGACCACGCCGATCCCCGCAGAGGGTCGCGCGAGCAGCAGAAATCGCAAAAAACCATGGGTTTTTGCACCTCGACCACGCCGATCCCCGCAGAGGGTCGCGCGAGCACCGCAGAAATCGCAAAAAACCATGGGTTTTTGCACCTCGACGATCCCACGATCCCCGCAGAGGGTCGCGCGAGCAGGTTAGAAATCGCAAAAAACCATGGGTTTTTGCACCTCGACCACGCCGATCCCCGCAGAGGGTCGCGCGAGCAGGTTAGAAATCGCAAAAAACCATGGGTTTTTGCACCTCGACCACGCCGATCCCCGCAGAGGGTCGCGCGAGCAGGTTAGAAATCGCAAAAAACCATGGGTTTTTGCACCTCGACCACGCCGATCCCCGCAGAGGGTCGATTTTCGTGTAGTGTCGTCGGCACTACCCCGCCGCCCTAAGAAGAGATTTTAACTCCTCGCAAGTCAATTGCAGGGTTTCGGCTTAAGGTGGTAGTCGAAGCCTTAGAGAGCAATCCGCAGTGCCTCGCAACGTGCTACAACTTGTGTGGTCAGTGCCAGTCAGTATTCCCAGTGTGAACATCTTGCCATATCAAGAGCCAACGTGGCATAGGAACGCAAGAAGACGGAGATCTCTGGCAAGGAAAAAGCTTTGGGCCTGTAAATCAGGATTGCTTGATCTCAGTGGGGAACAAATCTCAAAGCTTGCTACCCGTCTAAAGCAACATCACAGTTGGAATCGTTTTGCAAAACATCGCCTCACAAAGATGACGAAATGGACCTGTGTGTGGTGCAAAATGCACATACCAATGCACGGTGAGTTCTGTTCAGGCTGCGGTGAGCACTGGACAAGCCAATGGGCATGGAGCAAGCAAAGCACCAACAACTGGCCCAAGACCAATGAGAAAGGCAAAGGCAAGGGCAAAACGAAGACGAAGAGCAAGAACCCGGAGACACCAAGATCAAGCAAAGCAAGGCAGCCTGGCAGCCCGGAGCTCCCCCAGCCTCCCAGTAAGCACAAGGAAGCGACCGAGCACGATGATGTCAGCAAAGCAAAGGCAGCATACACATCACCGCACAAGAATGGCACAACCACATCGCAGGACACATCGCCGCTGACCGTGAGCAGTTGGGAGCATGTTTCAGGCTTTCACAACCTAGCCGATCCGTGCCCCGAGGATCAAGCCGATGTAGCCCAGCACCCAATCGCGCCAGCCAAGCAAGACATCTCACCAGATATGATGGCACTGGTGAAGACAATGCAGGACATATGCCAAAAAGCAGGTGAACAGTTGCCGTCAAGCCTCACAGCGCAGCAGCTGCTTCTCTTCCTAGGTCAGCACCCTCAGCGTTGGAAGCATTGGATTTCCAAAGCCCTGCAAGCAGACATCCTGCAGACTGCAATGCTTTGTGATTACGCCTCGTGGCGCAAACGCTTCCAGCAACTCCTGCGCACTGGGGGCGTTCACGCCGACGCAGTATCAGGCGGGCCCCAGTGCCCCAGCCAGTCTTGGAAGTGCAGCGAATGCGTAGCCGCGTTTGACGAGCGCCGGCAGCTGGCTGTGCGCCAAGCCCGCAAGCATGGTGCCAGGGCAGCCAATCTTGCCTTTTGTGCCACCACGCAGTGCCCTGTTTGTGTCACCGAGTTTTACCACACCAAGCGCTTGCAAGCCCACTACACGTCCGGCGTATCTCGCAAGCGAGACTGTTTGACGTGGGCTCAGGCCAACCTGATACCTGAGCCGCTTGACGCGATCACACGCATCGCGGAGCCAAGCTGGCTTAAGGGACACAAGCGCGTTCCGGGCACGAAGCTGCAAGGTCCCCAGCTGCCGACGCTGGAGGAAAGAGTTGAAAGCGATTGCCTGGGGCGGTACGCCGTGCTCCTCACATCTCCAGGACCGCCAGCGTCACCGGCCCCCCTGCAGCCGCCAGTTGCCTTGCCGCCGGCGCACGGCTCAAATGAGCATTGTGATGTGCCAGTTGCTTGCGCCGACCAGCTTGCTGCTTGGTTGTCTGCTCTCGAGCAGTGGTACCTTGATAGCGATTGCTCCGCGCAGGCTTTTTGGTCAGCACTCGGAATGCCTTCACAAGGCGTAGCCAGTCTTCCGCCCAAACTGCAGTGCACCCTGGTGGAGCTCTTTCGTGCGCAAGAAAACTTCTTTGATTACTGGGAAGACTTTGATGCCATAACTGTTGCTTCTAAGGAACTCCAGGATGCAGTTTCTGCTTTACCAGCCCATGTGCAACGCCCGCCGCAGCCAAGGCCGGAGGTCGCCTTGCCAGCCCTCGCGAGTGGCGCAGCAGCCCGGCACAGCGGCAGTAGCAGTAGCCAAGCGTCTTGGATAGTTTTTGCGCAGCGTGCAGCACAAATGCAGAGTGAAGATGAGCGCGCAAGCGTTTCCTTCCAACCAGCCACCGAACCAGCAGCCTGGCCTCGTCTAGGCCACTTGTTGCTCCGGCCAACCTTCTATGTGCTTCACCTTTTTGCAGGTAGGGCTTGCGAAGGTGACCTAGCCGCCCAAATTGCGGTTGCCACGCACCTTGAAGCTTTTGACGTATGTGTCATTGACATTGACATCGTCCGGTCAGAGGAGCAATGTGACCTGCGCCAGCCGCGCATCATTGAGGACCTAATCAGCAAAGCCCTTGCCGGGCGTTTTCTGGCTGTCAAGACAGGACCGCCCGTCAAAACTTGGCTGTCCGACCGTCAGCAAGTTGCCCAGCCCGGTTTGTGTAGGCCCTTGCGAACAGCGGACCAGCTGTTTGGCCGTCGTAACTTGCGTGAGCACGAGGAATCGCAGCTTTGTGTATAGCTAACAAACTCTTCTTCCACTCCACGCTTGTGTCTCTTGCTGTTGTCCTTTCAGGAGGTGCAATGATACACGCGCACCCTGCGCAGCCTAGCAATCCACGACATGCCAGCTCATGGCACGTGCCGCAGATTCGCTGGTGGCAGAAGCTCCCGTGCACCTTTTTCCGCATTGTGTGGCAGCAAGAGTTTGGGCAGGCGGCCCGGGAAGCTACTGGCTTGCTGTGCGCAAACTTGGCCAGCCTTGACGCACGTCTTACGGCCAATAAGCTTCCCAGATGTCAGTGGCCAATTTCACAACAGGCCACTGGCACGGATTTCCCGAAGAATATCACCAAAGCTTTTGCCGAGGCCTTTGTGGACCGTGCCAGGGACTTGCACTTGCACAAGGCATGGCAGGAACCGGATGCAGGATTCCTTCGCTGGGCAACGCCCCGGCTGAGACAGGCGCACGGATCGTCCGCAGCTGCGAGAGAGAGAGAAAGTCAATTGCACTTGACTCCTTGCACTTGCAACTTGCACTCGACTCCTTACACTTGCAACTTGCACTTGACTCCATGCACTTGCAACTTGCACTTGACTCCATGCACTTGCAACTTGCACCTGACTCCTTGCACTTGCAACTTGCACTTGACTCCTTGCACTTGCAACTTGCACTTGACTCCACGCGCAGCTCGCAATGACTCTCATGACTCCTTGCAATGACTCCTTGCAATGACTCTTGCAATGACTCCTTGCAATGACTCCTTGCAATGACTCCTTGCAATGACTCCTTGCAATGACTCCTTGCAATGACTCCTTGCAATGACTCCTTGCAATGACTCCTTGCAATGACTCCTTGCAATGACTCCTTGCAATGACTCCTTGACTCCTTGACTCCTTGCAATGACTCCTTGCAATGACTCCTTGCAATGACTCCTTGCAATGACTCCTTGCAATGACTCCTTGCAATGACTCCTTGCAATGACTCCTTGCAATGACTCCTTGCATTGACTTTCATGATGATGATTCCTTGCAATGACACCTTGTAATGACTCTCATGAGAACAACTCAAGTGAACCCAGCGGAAGAACCCTTCGCCATGCTTTCGGGAAAACAAAAACATTCAAGGTTTACACACCCAAAAACAAGGCAGGTTGCCGCGTTCGTGACATGCTCTCACGCTTCATTATGACACAAGCCTCCCGTGGCTTGAAGCCTTCAGGCGTTGCTGTATGGTGATTCTTCTGCGCCTCTCTGAACTGTCAGCTGCTAGTGCCTTCGGCTCTCGCTACATGTTTTGAGGGAGGATATAGGTATAATGCTGAACTGGGTACCTGTAACGAAAGGACTTTGCCTAGGTGGAGATGGCAATTGGGAGAGATGAGCAATTGGGCGCGTCTTCTTGTAAGCTACAGTACCCCGTTTGTTTTGGGAGCGGCTTCGTT